AATGTGGGCTGAGGATAGAACCCAGTGCCTCACGCATGCTAGGCAAGTGCTCTGCTACTAAGCTATAGTTCCAGCCCAAGAGTATGGCTTCTTGTCAGGTAGGCTTCAGGGGAATCAAATGAAACAYAAGGCTTGGGATGTAGCTCAGTGGTAGAACACTTGCCTAGCATGTGTGAAACCCTGGGTTCAATCCCTAGTGCTGGGGTCAGGGAGGCAAAAACTCAGAATGACTATACTATGCACATTTATCTTATAGTAACACCACATACACATACATGTCCATTCCCTCTTCTTACCTCATTTGGCAAGTATATTTACAACTCTAGAGCTTTGAAATTCCTATTATACCTACAAGTAGGTTGGTTACTGTGCATTCCCCGTTACCCAAGGGCAGACCCCATCTCTATAAATGTCTTCTATCTTACCCTGGGGAGTTAGTGATAAATACAAGCCAGGCCTTTAGGGAAATTAGACTAACTTTCCCATTCCAGGCTGTTTTCCCTCTCACAAACAAAAGAAGCCAAACTACCAGGCACTTTCTCCCATTCTTCACCAAAAAAGGTTTTTGCCCTGCTAACTACTTAACCCCTAAGTGGTTTAATCCAGTTCTGGAAACATCAGGTTGGTTACCAAACCAGGACAGGAGTTATTTGAAAGAAAGGCATTACAAATCCAAGGCAAAGAGAAATGAAAACAGGTCTTGTTTCCCATTCTTTTGTCCAAATGAGTGTGATGATGGAAATTGAAGGCAGGCCCTAGAGCTAATGCAACAGGCTTTCTACCACTATCTGTACCCCAAGCCTTCAATGCTTGTTCTTTACAGCCCACAGGAAGATCCTAAGCTCCAGAMACAGAACCAGTCATCTGTCCTGTCCAAATTTCCCAGTCAGTTTGGATCTATTAGGTTTGTGTAATTTTTCTAGGACAAGCTGAGAAAAGAGCTTCTGCTGCTTTGCAGCCACTGAAACAAAGTTTGAACATTTTCCCAAGTTGAATGCAGTGAGGAGTTGTTTGGCATCTTTGCTGCTACCACACCTAACACTAATGATGCCTGAGTACAGAATCCAAAGAAGTCAGAAAGGGATAGCTTTCTGGGAGAGGGTGTGTATCTACAGGGACTGCTGGTTGTGTGAGCAACAATCACCTCTTTTTGGGGTAGAGGGAGTGCAGTTTGAGAAGAGGGACAGAGTGAGAAATATGCCAAAGCAAAGGCAGGAGGAGTGTGGAATCCACTCCTGACATTCATAACCAAGTGCAGAGGCCTTGAAAAAAATCCACTCTTCCTTCCACACCCAGTCTTTGCCCTCTCCCCCTGCTTCCATTTCGGAAAGTCTGAAGCATGCCTGGAAAGCTGTTTTCTGCTTTCTTCTCCTCTCTTCCTCCCCCTTTCCTGAGCTCCCAGCTGCTCGACCTCTTGCGTAACTGTGAGAGAGCACTGAGTTATTTGATGGGCTCCAGATGTGGAGTGGGAAGAGGGTGGAGGGATGGGGGCGGTAGGTCTTCAGTCCCCTGAGTGCTCTTACTGTGGGAACATAGAGACCCAACACAGCAGGAGAGGGGACACATTGCACAGAGCCTTCATCAAGGGGTCAGCTGGTCCCTGGATTGGGAGGACAGTGAGGACAGTTGGGTGCTGTTTCAACCCCCTGCCTCAGCAGCAGCTGCCTCTATGATCAGCTCAATTATTCCTTGAAATTCTTTACCGAGACAGTAAAGAGGAGCTAGGGTTGGAAATGAAAAATTCTGAGGTACCSCAATCTGAGCCCCTCCACAAATGCTGGGTGTTAGTATATGGGATACAACAATTTTGTTTCTTTCTCTTTTTTTTAAACACACCAGAATAGCTTGAAAATTACTGTTGTGATCTGCTTCATGAAGGCTGGCCAGAGTTAAAGTCCTTTCATGAACCTCAAACTGTATGAACAGAGGAAGAATGAGGCTTGCCTCCCAACTCCTGAGGTTTCCTGATACCCACAGTGTGTGCTGGAAACTGACTGTCCCACCTCCACTGCCTAGAACAGGTAGCAACAAAGAGCACCCTCCCCCCTCCCCCTTTTTGTCCACTGCTTGGCTGGTCAGTCTCTGGTGGTGAAGGGCCCCCTGCTAATGCTAGCCCTGTCAATGAGTGACCAGGGATTCCTGCTGTTCAGACTCCTGCTGTTTCTGGTTTAGGGAGAGAGGGCAGAAACTAAAACCACCAGATCAGAACAAGGCTTTTCCATCTCAAAGACAATTTATTTTTTGCTATCCACTCAGTTGGAATTTAGGCCAGACTTGGGGTTTCCTGCTCCTTCCTTCAGCCAGGAAGAGTCTCTGGGGTCCCTCTATAGCATTCAGGTTAAAGAGATCCACTCTAGCTGAGTTCAGCTCCCTAGGGCCTCCCAGCCAGTCTCCTGAGGCAAGAGTTGGCTTTGCAAGTTAAGGATCCACTGTCAGTGTTCAATTTCTAGGTGGGGGTTGAGATGGAGAATGACTGACCAGGCTCAGTTTCTAGGCTGCTCTTAAGTGTTTACTGCTCCTCTTTTTTTCTCTTGTTAACCCCCATTCTTCAAAGACTCAATCTACTATAGGCTTGTGTGTGTCTCTAGCCTGCCTCCCCATTGCCCAACCTTAATCCAGTAGATCTGTGGTGGGGTGGAACTAATCGGGGAGCTGGTGGTAGTAACTCCACTCGGCTTTCCTCTGCTTTTCAGATTGCGTGGCACTTTAACATGCCTTCTTTACCTATTCTTAGGAAACTGTGAAGCCTCATATGCAGGGTTCTCAACCTCATTTGTGGCTTTTCGTGGTGGGCCTAGGAATGGAGTGAGGAGAGGTGGTAAGGAGGGAAGACCTAGGTGTCCCCAGTAGATGTTCTGGAGGAAATGTTGAATTGAGAGTATGTTGGGGCTGTGCCGACTAGGAGGTTCAGTGGGAACCAGTGGATGTTTTAGGCATGTAAGATGAGAGAGAAGAGAATAGGAGAGAAGAGGGAGCGCAAGCTGTCAAAAACACCCTCTCAAAACAGCGTTAAAACAGCGGTCCAGGGTGGTCTAGGAGAGTCCAGAGGGGAGGGCGGAAGGAAAGGCTGTGTGCGCGTGTGCTGTGCTGGTGGTGATGGTGGTGGTGGCAGTGGCGGTGGAGAGCCAGCTGTACAGATGAACAAAGCGGGCGCTGTGCAGGCGGGGGGAGGTGCTGCTGTGGGAAAGGGTGGGTGGGGGACCTTGGGCTCCAGCCCCACAAGGGCGTCTTCTCTGGCTGGCCAGGCTGACAGGACGGGGGTGGGGGCGGGGACGCGCGGGGGTGGGGGGCGGGACAGGCTCACTCTCCTCCTACTCAGAGGACTCGGGGGGGGGGGGGGGCGGGACAGGCTCACTCTCCTCCTACTCAGAGGACTCCCAAGGAAAAGTAACTGTGTTCTCCCCAGTTTGAGGCCGCAGCGGCGGAGCCGGGCCAAGGGACCGGTGTCCCCCTCACCCCTCGAGGTAAGCGCACCTCCTCTCACTACTCTCACGGCAGGTTCACTGCACGGCTGGGACCGCATAAGGGAAAGTCCCCAGGTACTGGCGAGATCAGCTCTAGAGTAGGGAGCTCGGAAGAAACCCGTAGGGAAGGAGGGGACCTCTCAGGTGAGTGCGTGGAGATGAAAAGGGCTTTGTGGGAGTCAGCTTCGCTGCTTTCCCGTGAGCAGCTTGATTTTGCCCTTCCAAGCCGCTGCCAACGTTGCCGCCAGAGGGGGCCCTTGTGGACTCCCCCCGGAAAGGACTCTGAGACTTGCGGATCCAAACTCTCCTTTAGGCACCACCACGGCTAGACCGACATTTGCGGTGGCGTGTGTGCGTGCGTGCCCTTGTCTCCAAAGCCCACACCAACCTCTCCGCCAAAAGCAGGAACACAGGAAGGGGGATCCCCAGTGGCGTATCCGCTCTTGTCCCTGGGTCAGCCGCCTTGATAGATTTCGAAGGGATAAGGAGTCCTGCTGGAAGGAACGGGAGTCCAGGAGGGATCCTTGGGGTTGTCCAGGAGATGGGAAGCGCGTTTGAGGTTTCCCAGGCACTCTTCAAGACCCCATGTCTTTTGGGGTCCCGGAGGCCACATGGGGCACCTTGAAAGAGTAAGTCGCAGGTTTTCGCCACGCCTTCGCGGTCTGGATTCGAATGCCTAGCGGAGTTCCCCCAAGCCGACGCTGAGACAAGTCATCGGGCTCCCCCGGGATGGGGAAGTGCAGGCGGACGACTGACTGGGTGGGGCCGCCGGGCGCAGGGTTGCCGAGGCGCCCCAGACGCTTCCGCGGAGGTGGGCGCGTTAGCTGGGACTTGGCTGGCTACCGCACCGCCCGGCGGGGGACCCCGGGCGCCGGGGCGGGGCTGCATTCTGGGCCCGTTAGCTCAGCGGTCCCGGAGGCTCCCGGGGGCTGACTCATCCGACGGCGGGTTCATCCACAGCTGTCACACCAGCGCAAGCTCTCACGTCGGGCATCCTCACAGCACACACGCAGAGCTCCCCACCCTCCACTCCCACGCGTTACATACACACAGCCCCTGTGCTACGTTCGCCATTGGGACACACGCAGAAACCCCAACACGCCTAGACCCCACCACACGTTTCACACTGCACGACTCACGTATAGGAAACCGTACCCCGTGCTCACGCAGCCCCATTCACAAGCTGCTCCGCTTACACACCTAGTCCCCAGCGACACAGTCAGCCTCACTCACAYATGCAGTCCCTCACACATGCCAGTCCCCTTCCTGCAGCTGCCCAGCTGCAAGCTGCTGTGTGTAGGGGCCATTCCTTTTCCCCGCCGCGCAAACAAGCGGTTCCTTCTCCCTACCCAACCAAAGAAAGGCCTCTTGTCCCGAAGTCAGGGCGGGCGGGGCAGCTGCGGCAGGCAGCCCAACACTGCGCGGCCTTGTCCCACCCGGCGGCCTGGGGAAGGGCAACCAAGGGGGTGACAGGGGCCTCTAGCKTACGGAAATCCCACGCGACCTGCCGGTTTCAGAGAGGTGAACGAGATGAACCTTTCCGGCATCCCCCAACTAAAAATCACACCCCCAAACTACACTCACATCTCTTACTGGGGCTGTCTCCTCTGTCATCTGGCTGCATCTCCTCTCCCCGACTTGTGCGGCCGCTGGTSTGCCCCTAATCTCCCTCTTTTCCTCCACCTCGCCTACCTACCGCTCTACGGTCACCCCCTCCACTGCCCCTCCACCTCCTGGGACCTTCCCAATTTTCCCCATCGTCTATCCTCAGTCTCTCCCCCGCCATCCTCTGCACTTAATCTTCTCCTCTGATTTCATTTTTTTCTTATCCCCAGGCTCACTCTTAAACGTCCCCCTCCAACCCCCCGCGTGTCGCTTTCCCCTCCCAGTCCCTTCGCAGACGCCTTTATTTAAGTTTTCTCCTTTCTGGGGGCCTTTGGACACCCCCGCCCCGCTCGGGCATCCCGCCCTCTGGGCTCCTAGCCTCAGTTTCCTTCCCGTCCTCAGTTTCCTTCCCGTCCTGACTCCTTCCTCTGACTGTGGCCCTTCCCGGAGGGCGGATGTGTGCCGGGAAGGCGAAAGCCGCAGCGGGCCGCAGCCCAACGGCCACAGCCATGCGACACTGGGGGCGAGGCCTCGGCTGGCCTCCCGGGACCAAGGTGAGCGCTTGGGGGTCGCAAGCAGTGGTCCCACGGGGGCCAGGCCTTTCCCTCGGGGGGCTGGCTATAGAGCTCGCATCTCGGGCGTCACTGGGAGSCCCTGGAGGCCTCCTTCAGTGCTTGCCGGTGCCAGAGCTGGTTGGCCCGGGCCTCACCTCACCCATTCGGGTACCGAGGTCCCGAGGGGAGTCTCTGAGCGCCCCACTCGGCAGACAAGGCTGGGACCGGTGTCCCGTGTTGCCCAGCTGCTCGCGCGTTCCCGCTAGGCGAGGAGGCCAAAGGGGCCAGTCCGGGGTGACCTTCTCGACGCAGTCGGGGACCTTCCCTGTAGCTCTCCAAATCTGGCCAGTTAGGCGTCCACACCTTGCTCCGGAGGAGGCATTTGGGCATCTATGTGAGGGTGTGGGAGCCGGCTTCCTTGCCCCAGAGTGGGACTCACACCGCAGCGGCCTTTTTTTGGCGGCGGGGCGGGGCAGGGTTTCCCAGAAAGGCAGCAGAGGCCAGGGCGGGTGAGTAATTACAGCCGAGGGTGGTGGGTAGCAGCCGGGTGGGACGGAAGCGGGCCAGCCAGTGGGGGGCGCCCGGGCGCAGAGCCGCTTCGCCGTCCCGGCTGGGGTTGGGGTCTGAGGAAGGGACGCCCCCAGGTGGCCCCTCTCCCTGGCGCTGCGAGACCCCTGTGTCAATGCAGCTCTGGTGCTGGGGCAGGTTGGTTTGGATGTCTTACACTTGACTTGGGTTAGGTTTCTGAGCTGGAGCCACAGCCTTGCACCTCTACATATTCTCTTATCTTCTTCCTACAACTCTCTCCTTATCTCTCCCTCTGCTTTCACCTCCTTGTTCCATTCTGGCCTCTCATCTAATCACTCTTATTCCCCATCAACATAATTCTTTATCTCCACTTGAATTTCTTTGGTGTAAATAAATGATCACAGGAAAGGCTTCAGAGTGACAAACACTCCAGGGTGGCAGATGAAGAAACAGGCCCAGAAAGGTGAAGTGCCTTGCTCAAGGTCACACAACTCATAATAAGAGCTGGCATTTTTATAGTGCTTTGCACTTTGTAGAGTGTCATTTAGTAAAATACTGAATCTCCAATCTTTTTTTTTAACGAACAGTTTAATTTATGTGTGATTTATATACCATAAAATCCACCCAATTTAAGTGTGCAATGATTTTTAGTATATTTACAGAGCTGTGCAACCATCATCACAATTTAATTTTAAAACATTTCTATCAACCCTCTCAAAATCTTTGTGCCCATTTATTCACTCTCTATTCTACCTTTAGCCTCAGGCAAACACTAATCCAATCTTTTAAAATTATTATTATTATAGTTTTATAGAAGATTGACTTGACAATCAGGTTAAATAACTTGTCCAAGATTTTATAGCTAATAAATAATAAAGTCAGCAGAGAATTTAAGGCTATTGTATCCCAGTTTAAAATTTTTTCCACATGACTATAATCCCAGCCACTCAGAAGGCTGAGGCAGAAGGATTACAAATTCAAGGCCAACCTCATCAATTTAATGAGACCCTCTCTCAAAATAAAAAATAAAATGGGCTGGCAGTGTAGGCTGGCAGTGTAGCTCAGTGATAGAATGCCCCTAGGTTCAATCTTCAGTACCACATAAAAATAAAAATAAAACTCTTCACTGAAGGATGATGCCTTTTCTTCACCATTGTGTACTTTTTAATTTTTCTTACCCATTCTTTTACATAAACTCCCCATTCCCAATCCACTCTCTTGTCTCTACGCCCTCAGAAAATGCTGAGGGATTTTCCCGAGTCTAAGGAAGCAGGACAGCAATCTGTCCCTGGAAACTTCCCTGTGGCCAGGATGCCTGGGCAGGTGCCAAGCCAGCTTGGGGCTTGGTGTGTTAATGGCCTTTGCCTTCCCTCTTCCCAGGCAGGCTTGGGGTGGGCCCCAGGCACTATTCCGGCCTCTYTTCCGCCAGCTTGGTTGGAAATGGTGACGGAGATGATGTAGTCCTGGCCCGGAAGGGTGGAACCTGGGAGGATAAATTTAGTTGCTCCATGACTGAGGCCCTTGGGACCCTTTGCCAGGGTCAGACACTCCCTGGAACGCTGGCTCCTGCCCCTACTTCCTCTGTAAGTCACCTGGTAGATGGCAGCAAGAAACAGCATAAGGACACCCTGCTTTCCTTATCTACCTCCCTAAGCCCTTAGCTTTCCTGGGCAATATTTCAGTAGCCAATGAATGTTTCTCACTTTGACACTTTGGCCAGATGATGGACRTGTAGACACACAGTAACACACAAAGGTTCTTCCTCACATTTCTCAGGTACTAGAATCATAAACCAGGGAAAGAGGGATGGGTGGTAGTGGTAGGTGGGTGGGGATTCAAGTTCTGGTTCTGGAATCTAAGCTTCCTAYAGCACCAAGCTAGGTAAGAACACGATAGTCCTACATTCCCAGTAATAGTCACCATTGAGACTTAGCTGATTAGAGTGAGGTGAGGTTGCTTTCTGGGGAAGAGAAGGCGTAAGAGTTGAGATAAACAGAGATGGCAAGAATAGCTGTGTTTTTCCTGTGTCTCTTTTAAGAAAACATCCTGCTAGCTGGGGCAATGGTTCACGCCTATAATCTCAGCAACTTAAGAGGGCACACTGAGGCAGGAGGATCACAAGTTTCAAGGCTAKCCTGGGCAATTTAGCAAGACTCTGTCTCAAAAAATAAAAAGGGTTGGCTGGGCTTGCTCAGTGGTAGAGAGCTCGCCTAGCATGCATGAGGCACTGGGTTCAATCTTCAGCCACATTTAAAAAAAAAAAAAAAGGTATTGTGTCCACTTACAACTAAAAAAATATAAAAAGGGCTGGGAATAGAGCCTAGTAGTAAAGACCCCTGGGTTCAATCCCTGGTACCCCCTCCCAAAAGGAAGGAGGAAAGAAAAAACATCCTACTGAGACCCCTGGGAAAGAGGCAGAGGAAGAAAAGGAAAGGATGGGGGATGGAGCCCTTTTCAGTTAAGTTACCCACCTGGAGACCCTTTGTCTACTGGTGCCCCTGGAGGGGCTTCCCTAGATTTTGCTCTTCCACCCACCCATTAGTGGGATTTCTCCCAACCTACTTAAGGCTCCAGATGGCTGGGGGTCTTCAGCTGCTAAGATTTGAGTTCTAGGTTGCATAGAGCAAGAAAGCACAGAAATACAGGCCAGGCCCTATTAGGCTATTTGTGTTTACCCTGGCAAGGGCCAGGACTGGTAAGGTGTGGTGGCTGTGTTGTGGCTGGTGAGGAGGGGGTAGCTGCTGCTACCTGCCTGTTTCTTTCCCTCTTCTACCCTGAGCTCCCCATCTCACCTTTATCCTGTGTCCCCAGGAACTCTGGAGTCCTAGGACCATGGATACTCTCAATAGGAGCCAGGTAGGCCCTGGATGCAAGACCCAGGTTGTGGTGCAGGTGAGTGGGTTTGGGGCCATGGCGTAAGAGGGTTATTGATGGGGATGTTTTCAGCTCTTCTACCCATCTGTGGCCCTAGCCTAAGGATGAGAGCAGCAGTTCTGGGCTGGGGATGTGGCTCAATCGGTAGCGCGCTCGCCTGGCATGCGTGCGGCCCGGGTTCGATCCTCAGCACCACATACCAACAAAGATGTTGTGTCCGCCAAGAACTAAAAAAAAATAAATAAATATTGAAATTCTCTCTCTCTCTCTCCTCTCTCACTCTCTCTTTAAAAAAAAAAAAAAAAGAGAGAGCAGCAGTTCTGTTCCTCTCTGTCCTTCCCCAGTTACCAAGCCTATTAACAGCTGAGTCTTTATCTGAATCAGGTTAATTGGTTCACCTAGAAACTCCCCTTTGAAAGTCAGAAGCGGTTTACAGGTTGTCCCTGGACTGTATCACTGGGCTGGATCCTGGATCGATGCCTCCGCCCTTCCTTGTAGCTTAGTTTAGTAGGGGCAAGCAGCAGCCAGGTGGATAGCCAGGGACAAAACTGAAAGGAGCTGGGCTGGCCCWCCTCTACAGTGCCCCCTCCTCCTTACCTAGAGCTCTGCCCCCACCCTTCTCTCCTTGTTTCTGTTTTAATAGACAAAAGGGGCAGTTGAGCCAAGACTTGAGATAAATCCAGTGGGGCGAGTTAGTGGCCTAGATTCAGATCTAATTACAATTTAGTGGAATAATGCTTTGTGTAAGATTTTGTGCTAAGCCTTTCAGCACCTCAGAGCCCTTTGGAGAGAGAGGGACAAGGGCTGGAGAGAATGCTGGTGCGACTGGGACTAGGGTGTTAAGGTGCTGGCCCAATGTCTATAATGATGCTCATCTCCTACCCCCACTACCTGCAGAAAGGACCCTTGGACCTGATCGAGACAGGCAAAGGGCTGAAAGTGCAAACGGACAAACCGCATCTGGTGAGCTTGGGCAGCGGGCGGCTCAGCACAGCCRTCACCCTTCTGCCACTGGAGGAAGGTAAGCGTGGACAGGGACTCCCCACCCTCATCATTACAGGCATTCTGTTCTGGAGGCCATTCCCAAGCATATGTTGGGGGCCCTTCTGCCTCTGCCAGCAATGCTGGCCTTGTCTCAGCAATGCTTCCCCAGACYGCTTGCCTTCTTTGGTAGATAATCTGGCTCCTTTCTAGGATTAAAGATCAGTTTAGAAACAAGAAGGAGAGCACATTGCTCTTAGCAACCAGTATGTCCCAGGGAAAAAGGGGTCCCACTCCAGGATGATGCCTGCGTGAGAGGCAGGACCAGTGGAGAATGACGAGATGGAAGAGGGGGCTCCATCTCCCAAGAGGAGGCCCTGGCGTGGCTCCTTATAATTCTCAGCTTCTGCCCTCCCCTCTTCTCTCCTGGCTGCACCTGTTGCCTGGGTGATACTACATTCCCCACATTCTCCAAATACCAGTCCCAGGGACTCTGCCAAGGAGGGGCTGGGGGAGAGGCTGTACTGGGTGAGAGGAAGGAAGGGAAGGGACGRGTTGCAGGTGGCAGAAGGAAAAGGGGAGAGCAAGATTTAGAAGAAAAGCTGGGAACAGCCAGAAGGGGGAAAAGAAAAAGGAACTTAGTGGGTGGGTAGAGAAACTAAAGGTGGTATCCTCCTTTTCTACTCTCTCAGTCTGGCTCCTGTGCCCTTTGTGCCTTCCCATTCCAAGGCAGAGTTTTCTGTTTGAGAAGAGCTTTTGTCACTTACAGTCTCAACCAGACTCAGGGGTCCAGGAGGGTGAGCTGTGGTGGGCAGAAATTCTCCCTGGAGCAGCAGGTGAAATGGATTCCCACAGTGACTCTTCTTGCTCTCTCTGCCTGGACAGTCCCCTGATTTAGTTTTCCTCCTGTCTTCAGGGAGAACAGTGATTGGCTCCGCAGCCAGAGACATCTCACTTCAGGGTCCAGGCTTGGCTCCAGAGCACTGCTACATCGAGAACCTTCGGGGTACCMTCACCCTCTATCCTTGTGGCAATGCCTGCACTATTGATGGGCTCCCCATCCGGCAGCCTACCCGACTCACTCAGGGTAAGATTGACGCCCCTAAACTGAGGAAGGAGCCTCTTGGTCACAGCTTGTGCATGCTGGGTATAGGGGAAACCTAACATGGTGGTTACCATGGTAACTGCCTGAATGGTCATAGTCAGGTGCCTCTGGACTTACAAAACCCCTCCAGCAGCCAGACTTGTCTTCAACCTGCTTTTCATTTCTGGGTATCCTTACCTTGCTTCCCCACACCATGGGGAGAGAAGAGACTCTAATTCCTGCTGTCAGAGGGCCTGGGAGCGAGTGTGTGTGGCTGTTAATGGTTGTTGGGACAGAGCAAGTGGAACAGCAGTCTTTTTTTTTTTTAATATATATATATATATATTTAGTTGTAGTTGAACACAATACATTTATTCCAAACATTTAGTTTTATGAGGTGCTGAGGATCGAACCCAGGGCCCTGCGTGTGCTAGGCGAGCGCTCTACCGCTGAGCCTCAACCCCAGCTCCCCCGGAACAGCAGTCTTAAGGGGATCAATGGTGCTGTTCCTCGATGCCAAGAGGGAATTTAGAGAAGCCGTTGAGGAAGATGAAACCCCTGTGGAAATGGGGCAAGTTAGCTGAGTTTGATGGCAAAATCTGAGGACGTGCCTGTTCCTGCTACAAGACTGTCATGAATATGGTCACCGCCCTGTTTCCCAAAGCATCAGCCATTCTCTTATGCAAGGGAGACCCTGTGTTGTAAGGACCCCTAATTATGATGGTTATTAGGCTGGTAAAGGGCTGGCCAGGTGGCACTTTGACAGGCCAGGTGTGGAAGTTCCTCTGGAAACTAGGTTCTGAGCATCATTTCATACAGTGAGTTGTTCCATCAGAGGAATAAGAAAAGCAGATGTGGGCGGGGCCAGAGGTGAGATTATAATGAAGACCAGAGCTTTGGACGCCTGGCTCTGCACAGAGGGACTCTCACTGGTCAGAAGCCCTTTGTCAGGGGAAATCCCACTCATTCCATTGTCTCCCAAGCTCCTTCTATTCACATGCCTGGGGCCTTTAAGTGCCAWTTTCTTCAAAATTGGCCTAGGAATGACCATGCCCCACTCCTTCCTCCTGCCCCTGAGGTGAGCACAGGGTAGGGAAACAGACTGCAGAGAGACAGGTCCCCAGCAGCAGTAGGGCAAGTCCTTGCCTTCTCTAGGGCTTCAGGGTTCCTGACTCTGGTTGAGAAAGAGAAACCCAGGAAATGGGGCTTTGGTCATGATGCCATCTGGTTCCTGATGGTCCKGTTCAGTCTCAGAGGGAGCATCTGCTCCAGGATTTGGGTGCGTGCAGGTGAGACAGCAGAGAAACAAGGAGAAGCAGGGCAAAGTTCAAAGGTGGCCCAGCCCTTACTCCCCAGCCCCCAATCCCATTGCTTCCATGGTTAAGAACACCTTTGCCCCTCGTGCTGTGAGCAGGGTAGTTGTGAGCCGTGCTCCCTATGCCTCTGTTGGATCTTCCCAGAGCATCTTCAGTTCCCTGAGAAGAGGGCGGGCCTGAGGCCATGATGGAATTTTTAAGCATTTCCTGTGGCCCCAGTGACCCCCCTTCCTCAGCCAGAAGCCCACCCTGCCAAGTATGTACCCTCCCACTCTCTTTTGACCCTAAACTCCCTTTACCCCCCACCCCCCCAGTAGCCTTCTTGTCTGGGCTCGCCTGTCTTAGAAGCTTGGCAGCCTGTGGAGGGGTAGGCGGAAGCACAAAGGAATGGGTGTTCTTCTCTGAAGCCCTCCCCCTCCCTGGGCTCCAGGAGCTAAGGGTTTCCTTGTCTCATCTCTGGAGCAAGGCACCAAGCCCAGCCTTGCCTGGCCCCACTCCGGACATTCTTGGGAGTGCGTTTCCTTGGGAACTGGGTGGCTCGGGGTGCATGTGTTATCTGTGTGTCTGTGTAACAGGAGTGTGTTTATGTATCTCCGGATATGTTTGTGACTCTAGGCTTGTGTATTTCTGCATTTGTTTGTGTCTTTCCTTGTGTTTATGGATCAGTGTGTTCAAGTGGGTGTGGGGGTGAATCCAGGACTGATGGTACCAAAATGCCCATGAGTGTACTTAAGTGTTTATATGAGAACTCACTGGCCATATGCCTTCGGGTGGGCAGATGCTTGTGAGGACTATTTAGGGCWGGGTTTTGTGGCTCAGTGGTGGAGCCTTTGCTCAGCATGTGTGAAGCCCTGGATTCCATCCTTAGCACAGGGTGGCGGGAAGGGGGGATTTTCCCTGTCTTATTTCTCTTATATGGCCTTATAGAGTGGACCCTCCTCTTTAAAAAACAGAGGGGGTCTTGGGAATAACAAGGAGTCTGCTCTGGCTGGGCCAGGCCTTAGAAACATCATTCTGGGCACTGTGCCCAGCCATGGGCAACTTGGAGAGACACACTTCATGACAGGCAGAGATGGCAGTGACAGGCTCTTGCAGCAGGAGTATGCTTGGGCCAGGGGAGGGGGGAGGCGGGCAGAGAGCAGATGCCAACCTTTATCCTAGAGCTATGAACATGGGAGCATGAAGTGAGGGACCCAGGGGGACCTTGATTCCTCCCAGTACGGGAGCATCTTGGCACATCCCGTACTGCCCTCTCCTCTACAGAGCAAGAGGTGGAGCTGGGAATAGGACCAAGGAAATAAGGCAGAATCTCAATCTGGGTCTAGGCTGCCCCACCCTGGGATCACAGAGCCAGACCACATGAAAGATCAGGGAGCGGACTAGGAAGGGGAGGGTCCAGAAAGCCACACAGCTCAGGGCGCTGGCTGTCTAGACAGGAGGTCCCCTTCTGCTCCTGATGCACACTRCCAGCCTTTGCCTCCGAGCATCCTTTACTTTCAAAACCCCACATTGGTGGGTAGGGGCTTGTGTGGGGCCAGCAGAGGAGTGTGCTCTCTGGGGTCCAGGACATTGGGCCTCTTCKTCCACCCAGTTATCAATTATTCCTTCTGTAAGTTGGGAGGGAAGACTCCAAGCTTTCTGATAGGAGATTGATGAAGATCTTGACTAATACAGTTCAAAGGAAAGAGCACAAGCGACGCCTCGGAGCTTTCCCACTTCCTTGCGTCTGTCTCCTGCCCTGGTTTTCACTGGCGGGCATCGCTGCCTGCCTGGGTCTGTCCAGCTGGCCATCACAGTTTCCAGATCTATGAATCACTCTTCCTTGAGGAGGTTTTGTTTTCTGAAACCTCCCCTCAGTTTGCATTTGACCCTATATGGTTTTTCCTTTTTCCCTCAGAAGGGGAATAAGTTTCATGTGTGTGTGTGTGTGTGTGTGCATGTGTGTGTGTGTGTAGCATGGCAGTGTCTGCGTGTGGTGATCGGCTATTCAGCAATGGTGGAAAATTTCCCTCATTATTTCTCTAAGGAGGCTGGTATGTGTGTATGTGTATATATACACACACTTTATTATTTAAAAWTTTTTTTTGTAGTTGTAGATGGACAGAATGCTTTTATTTTATTTGTTTATTTTTATGTGGTGCTGAGGATTGAACCCAGTGCCTCACTCATGTTAGGCAAGTGCTCTGCCCCTGAGCTACAGCCCCAGCCCATACACACACTTTTTTATATACTAAGGATTGAACCCAGGGGCACTTTACCAGTGAGCTACAGTGGTATGTATGTGTATATATATATATATATTTTTTTTTTTTTGAGACAGAATCTCTCTAAGCTGAGGCTGCCTTGAACTTGTGATCCTCCTGCCTCAGCCTCCTGAGTTGTTGGGGTTACAGGTGTACACCACCACAACTGGCTATATTTATTTATTTATTTTGTTTTGAAATGGGGGTCTCACTATGTTGCCCAGACTGGCCTTAAACTTGAGATCCTCCTGCTCAGCTTCCCGAGTAGGTAGGATCACAGGCAAGCACCACTGGAGATTAACTKTATTTAAGAGTCTCTCCAGGGTCTGAGCAAAAGGATAGCTGTTCCCTAGTAAGAGTGAAACTAAGACAGGGAGTGGGGCCTGGGAGAATGTGTGCATGAGAATAAACGTGCGTGAGACATAAGAGTGGTCTATGTGGAATGAAGTGTTTGTGAGACCCTGTGCCCAGCTGATGTGGTGTCAGTGTGACTGAACAGTGTTGGTATGTCTTTGAGAGTTGGTGTGGGGATGAGCCAAGGCAGGGATGTGTGAGCTGCCTAACATGTATTGTGTCCCAGGGTGAATGTGGTGTGTCCCCTAAGATTCTAGTGTCCAGGGTCAGTTCCTTGGGACAAGAACAACTCTCTGGGGATCCAGTTGGGTGGTAGGTACCAGCCTGGCTCAGAATCTTCAGCCTGTCCCTGGAGGCACCAGAGACAGATGGCCCTGTTTTCCAGATAGAAAGGGTATCTTATTGGGAGAGAGAGCACTTRGGAGCCCCAGGAAGTGGGCTGGTTTGGAAGGGGCAATGCTTTGGTCCAGCCTGGGTCAATGGGGGTGAGCTCTGGGGAGTAGGGAATGGAAGAGTAGATATTTAGGATGGAGACAGGATCTGGACTGTGCTGCCTGTATTGCACAGAGCACTGCTTGACCTGAGTCCCCAGCTTGGGTGACCTTGTCACAGTAGAGACTGAGGTCCAGAGCTGAACCTAGTGACCTACCTGGAACCCACTGGGCCCCCACTCTTCTACTCTTCCTCAGTAGAACCACGGAATGTCCTCTATGGTCACTAAGGGCATCCTCCTCATTCTCTGGATAAGTCATCCCAAGCCAGAGGGTGTGACTGGCCCAAGGTGACACTGGCCTGAACCCCAGACCTCCCCCACAGACTTACCCCAGAGAGTCCTGGGCGAAACCTGCACTTGACCTCACTCCAGCTTCCTGGCTCTTCAACCTCTGGTCTCTATATTTACCACCACTTTTCCTTCAGGAGTCACCTCCCCCGAACCTCTCCTCCCTCTCCGCCCCACTTTTCCTCCTGTCCCTGGCGCGGGATCCCCAGCTTGCTGCCTGTCTGCATCCTCCCGCCCCGCCCCGCCTCTCCATCCAGCTCCACACTCGTCTCCTCCATCACTTCCTCTTCCCCTCCTCCTCGCCTTTGTCCCTCCCTCCCTGGCTCCCTTCCCCCGCYGCTGGTGGCCGGCCCGCCCCTCCCTGGGCATTGGCGGCTGCTCGCTGCCTGGCTGCTCGCTCGGAGCCTGGAGCTGGCGGCGGGAGGTCGGCCCGCCCCCTCAAAGGCCCCGGGCGGGCCGGGGACCTGCAGGGCCCGCGCTGGCCGGGGCCCACCGTCTGGAGGTCCGGGTCCAGCGGTGAGTGCTCAGCCCGGTCAGCCACAGCCCCTGGCSGCTGGGGCGTCCTGGGAGGGTGGGTGCAAGGAGGGGGATGGGGTGTTCGACCTCTGTTTGGGAGCTTGAGGCTGTGAGACTCCAAGGTTGTGAGTCCCTGAACATTTCTGAGTGGGGTTCTGGGCTTGGGGCCACTTCTCAGCTGTGCAGACCTCATCTCTCCTAGCGCTGGGCAGTCCCCTCCTGGGATCCGCCTCCCAAGGGGTCGAGGGATCACGGTTAGGATGAGGGGAGCCTTGTTGTGGCCGAGAGGGGTCTCTGATGGGAAAAACCAAGGCTCTTGTTCCTATTCTCCCTTCGTCCACCCTCCCTTTGGCCAGTTCATTCTATGTGTGACCAGCAGGGCAGTGAGTGTCGCTCTGTGTGTGCGAGTGAGCATGGCTGCCTATGATTCTGTGTGTGTTCCTATGAGTGTGTCTGTGTGWGGTGTTTCCCCTGTGCATCTCTTGGAGGCAGGATCCACCCTCTGCTTTGCCCAGTGTTTTCCCTCCAGATGTGCAGATTCTCTACCCACCTGCAGCAGCTGGACCTTAGGTGCTCTGTGCATGGGGGTCAGGGACCATGACTTTGGTTGGGTTCCTGGGCTTCCAGACAGGGCTAGCCTTGTGGGTGTGGAGAAGGAGTGGACAGAGAGGCCACTTCTTCCCCTGGGGGCGGTAGGTGCCAGAGTTGGGGCTATGCCTGAGGCCCCTGAGTGCAAATAGAAAGTTAATTTGGGCAGGAGCTGGGCTGCTCTCAGTCCTGCTGCCCTCCTGCCCRCTCTATTAATACAGCTCTAGCTCTGCTGCCTGGCATCACTATTTATAGCCCAGAGGGAGCGAGGCCACACCCCCGTGTGGGGTAGGGGGAGGGGCAGGTGCCTCCAGTCCTATACTGGCCAGGGTAAGAGGGTCCATAGATACTCACAGCCTTCTTGGGTGGGCCTGGCACTGCTGGGATGGGATCCACCCAGAAACCCCCTCCTTCCCAGTTTGGACTGTGTGTTCAGGCTCTTCCTAACCTCTATCCCCCTCCCTCCATCAACCTCGAGTTGAGTGGGTCTGTCTAGACCCTGCAAACTCATCATTAATTAGTTTGTTAAATGGCTGAAAGGAAGGAGAGGGGCCAGGCAGGGCCGTTCCTGAAACAGCTGTGGTTGTAATTAGGTGGACGGTGTGGCTGACTGGCATTTATTTCAGTTATGMTTACTCTGGGATCAGCTTCTCTGATTGGTGACTTGGCAGAGAAGTCGATCCCCTTTCCTAACCACCCATCACCCTGGGCGGGCCTTTGGGTGTGCCAAGGGAGTGAGCGGCTTTGTCTGATATGGGCTTCTTGTCCTGCTAGTCCTCCGCCCCATGGCAATGCCAGGGGTCTTAAGAATGGACTCCTGAGCTTCTCAGTAGGGGGCCTGCCAAAATACCCACGTGGCCTGGGATGCCCTTTGCCCTTGCTGCCTCCCTGAGCTGCACTGTCTCAGCGTCCAGGAATGTAGACTTCCCTGCCAGTCTTAGCTCAGACTGGCATGAAGTTTGGGGTGCCAAGTGGCATTGGGTTGGGTAGACAGGAGGCTGAGACCAGGGGTGTAGACAAATGGAATGGTGGGTGGTAGAGAGCAGGGGCTCTGGCCTCTCCTAGCATAGCATCTTCTGTAGGAGTCCTTTAGCACCTGGCATGGCAAGGAGGTGGAATTCTGCCAGCCAGGCTTAGGCGCCTGAGGGGACACCTGCCACTGTGCACACTCCTGAGCCCCTGGCTACATTTTCTGGCTCCCACATAATAATCTCCCCCTTCTATGCACTCACACTTCCTGGGCAGGACTAGGCTTGTGTCTTCCGCCTGGGAATGGGCTTTACTGAGCCCAGTGGTCTGGGTCTGACTAGATTCCAGGTGAGACTAGAGGAATAGCCAGAGGATGCCATGTCAAAAAGAAACAGGGTTAAAAAAGAAAGAAAGAAAGAAAGAAAGAAAGAAAGAAAAAAAGAAACAGGGTGGCCAGGCACAGTGGGGCACCTCTGTAATCCCAGTGACTCAGGAGGCTGAGGAAGGAGGATCACAAGTTCAAGACTAGCCTCAGCAACTTAGTAAGGCCCTAAGCAACTTAGTGAGACCCTGTCTCGAAATAAAAAATAAAAAAGGGGCTGAGGATGTGACTCAGTGTAAAGTATCCCTGGGTTTAATCCCAGTGCTGAAAAAGAAAGAAAGAAAGGAAGGAAGGAAGGAAGGAAGGAAGGAAGGAAGGAAGGAAGGAAGGGCTGGGGATGTGGCTCAAGCGGTAGTGCGCTCGCCTGGCATGCATGCGGCCCGGGTTCGAGGCTCAACACCACATACCAACAAAGATGTTGTGTCTGCCGAGAACTAAAAAAAAAATATTAAAATTCTCTCTCTCAAAAAAAAAAAAAAAAAAAGGAAGGAAGAAGAAAGAAAGAAGAAACAGGTGGTGGTTACTCCTTAGATACTCAGAGAGGGTGGCAGTAATCCTGAGGCCACACAGCAAGAAGGAATCTGACCAAACCATGGCTTTTCCCTTGTCCACTATCTCAGAGTTTTGTTTGTGACTCTGGTAGTTGCTGCCTTTTAAATTAACCCTTCTAGCTGGGCATGGTGATGCATACCTGTAATCCCAGTGATTTGGGAGGCTGAGGCAGAAGGATCAAGGCCAGCCTGGGCAATTTAGTGAGACTCTTTCTTGAAATTAAAAATAAAAAGGGCTGGAGGGCTGGGGACGTGGCTCAGGGATCGAGTTCTTGCCTAGCATGCATGAAGGCCTGGATTCAATACCCAGCACTGCAACAACAAAAAAAAAAAATAAAAAATAAAAAAAGAAAAGAAAGAAAAGAAAACCAAACTGCTGGAGATGTGGGGATGTAGCTTATTGGTAAGGCACCCTGGGTTCAATCCCAAGTACTGGAAAAACAGTAAAAAACAGACTGACCGTTCTATTCAGAAGATGATTGGATGTATCATGAATCTGGGTTGGGGGTAGGAGGAYGTGGTGTTCATGTTCTCTGAAGAACTTTCTCCACTGATGGTWTTTTTCACACATGGTCTTTTTAGCCCGGTAAGCTCAGTGGTATGGTCCCATTTTTCTGAGGAGAGAACTAGAGTTGGAGGTGAAGTAACTTCACTGAAAGATCTCACAGGTGGTAGTGAGAAGAGGAATTAAGAGGATGTAGTTTGGGGACTTGCCTGCCAGTGTTCTTTCTACTCTGCTCTGTGCYGTGGAGCCCCACACAGGCCCAGCTCAGGGACAGGCAGGGTCAGGTGTGCATTGTGGGGACACTGTAAGTATAGGTGGGAACTGCTTTTTGGAGCTGGGGGTGAACCTACTAGTGCTGCRGGTTGGGATGGCTTTGGCCCTGCTGGTCCCTTGCAAGCATTTGCTTTCTCTGCAGGCTGCATGTTGTGCCTGGGTCAGTCCACCTTCCTCCGCTTTAACCACCCTGCTGAAGCCAAGTGGATGAAGAGCATGATTCCAGCAGGGGGCCGGGCTCCTGGGCCCCCCTACAACCCTGGCTCTGGTAGGTGTCTAGCCTGGGCAGGGAGATGCTGGGTTGGTGGTGCCCCTTTGACCTCTTCTCGCCCACTTCAACCATTCTTACAGTGTTAGGGTGGGACAATATACAGGGTCTGGTCTCGCTGCCACCTACCATAGTCTGCTGGAGAAGGCCAGGCAGAGGGGCTACTGGGAGAGAGCCGAGGCAGTGCTGCTTGGCTGAAATTGGGAATTGATGTACCTTGAGGGATAGAGGGGTCTGCCTGTCTTTATCCTACTGACCTAGAAGAGGCCACTCAGTGTCTGGGACCCTGCCTTCTTGTGATACCACCAGGAACCTCACCTTCAAGAATGGCCTGAGCATTAGGTTGAACCCCCAGTAAGCCCTGGTGGGGCCCACCTGCTGGTGATCATGTTCTTGGGCCCTACCCAACCCTCAGGCCTTGCCATGCTCGAGGATGACTCAGAGGAGCAGCTGCAGTTTGTGTGTGAATTATTGATCCCCAGAGGAGAATCGGTGATTGTTCTAGGAACCAACACAGGCCTCCTCAGTCAGCTGCCTGGGGTGGGGGGCAGTGAGTCTGCCCCTCTAGACTTTGCAGTGGCATTCAATGGCTGCAGGGCTACAGGTGCCAATGTAGCTATGGGGCAGATGGACATATGTGTCTGGGACATCTGGTGGAGTAGTTATCAGCGACCTAAATGTATAGTCCGGGAACTTGAAGAAAATTGAGTGGTCATTGGGATCAACACTATCCATGACAACCCCATCTGACTGTGTTGCACACAGTCCCAGAATTTTGGACCCATGCTCTGTCTTGCATAGGAGTTCCCTTCTCCTCTTTCTCAACCCCAGTCTCTTCTAGTCCCCTGGGAGCACAGAAGCCTAGATTTCTAGTCCACTCCCTGGTTAATTTTACCCTGCTTCCACCCCAGCCTTGTTATGCCACTTCTCAGAGCTGTTTGAGGCAATGGTTCCAGGGACTGCAGTCCCCTGGTTGGTTGACAAGGGGCCAGGCAAAGGCAGGCTCTTGCTGGTGTGGCTTAATGGGATAATTGGAGGCATTGAGCTGCACCTCGTGGCTGGCCAGCAGGGCTTCCAGGAACCAGCCATTAGCACTGGATCCCTCCCCTGCCTCTGATTGGACAGAGCGCTCCAGCGCACAGCCCTTGCCCAGCCCTGAGGCTTTGTTTTTTTCCCTGGGTCTCTGGCTGCTGTGTTGGGAGGAAATGATGTCCTATTAGAGTAGGAGGCCCTGGAACTTCTGGCCCACTCCACAGTAGGTCCCATCTCCTTTGCAGAATGTCCCCTTACCCTTCCTGAAGAGAGATGTAAGGACGATGAGAAAACCAAGGCAGGAAGGAGTCTAGTCCAGGGGCAAGTTGGCAAAAACTAGGCTTAGATGTATCCTGGCGTTTTGCTAACTTTGTCCTATGTCATAAAATGTTAGAGCCAGGAGGGTCCTGCCCATCTTCTTCCTTTACAAAAAGGAGACACTGAGGGCAAGTAACTTGGCTAAGGATACAGAGCACAGCAGTGGCAGAGCTGGCTGGTGCCAGCACCTGGTAAAGAACCCAGATATCCTGGCTTCTTCAGATCTGGGCTAGGAAGAGGTGGGGTGGTGTCCTTGCTCTTGTGCATATGTAGCTTCCAAAGCCCAAGGCCAGAGCCTGAGACCTCTTTGCTTTTTCCCTCAGCTGAATCAGAAAGTCTGGTGAATGGGAACCACACCCCACAGCCTGCAACCCGGGGACCCCCAGCTTGTGCCAGCCACAGTTCTTTAGTGAGCTCCATTGAGAAGGACCTGCAGGAAATCATGGACTCACTGGTGCTAGAGGAACCTGGAGCTGCTGGCAAGAAGCCTGCTGCAACCTCCCCACTGTCACCAATGGCTAATGGTGGCCGTTACCTGCTGTCCCCTCCAACCAGCCCTGGGGCCATGTCTGTKGGCTCTAGCTATGAGAACACCTCTCCAGCCTTCTCACCACTCTCTTCACCAGCCAGCAGTGGGAGCTGTGCCAGCCATTCACCCAGTGGGCAGGAGCCAGGACTGTCTTCTGTCCCCCCACTGGTGCCTGCTCGCTCATCCAGCTACCATTTGGCCCTGCAGCCCCCACAGTCCCGCCCAAGTGGTGCCCGCTCCTCTGAGAGTCCCCGGCTGGGTAGAAAAGGAGGTCATGAGAGGCCTCCCAGCCCTGGCCTCCGTGGGCTATTGACTGATAGCCCTTCAGCCACGGTCTTGGCAGAAGCCCGCAAAGCCACTGAGAGCCCCCGACTGGGAGGGCAGCTGCCTGTGGTAGCTATCAGCCTGAGTGAATACCCAGCTGCCAGTGCCCGCAGCCAACCCACCAGCATTCCTGGCAGCCCCAAGTTCCAGTCTCCAGTTCCTGCTCCTCGCAACAAGATCAGCACACTCCAGGACCGCCCTCCAAGCCCTTTCCGTGACCCTCCCAGCACGGAGAGGGTGTTGACAACGAGTCCCTCTCGCCAACTGGTGGGCCGAACATTTTCAGATGGGTCAGCCACCCGCACCCTGCAGCCTCCTGAGAGTCCCCGCCTGGGTCGGCGGGGCCTGGACAGTATGCGAGAACTCCCTCCCTTGAGCCCGTCTCTGTCCCGACGAGCTCTCTCCCCACTGCCTGCTCGGACCACCCCAGATCCCAAGCTCACCAGGGAGGTAGCAGACAGTCCACGGCCCCGGCGGTGGGCAGCCCATGGAGCTTCACCGGAGGACTTCTCCCTGACTTTGGGGACACGAGGCCGCAGAACACGGAGTCCCTCACCCACCCTGGGGGAGTCCTTGGCACCTCGCAAGGGCAGCTTCAGTGGCAGGCTGAGCCCAGCCTATAGTCTGGGTTCTCTTACTGGGGCTTCGCCACGCCAGAGTCCTCATGCCCAGAGGAAGCTCTCCAGTGGGGACTTGCGGGTGCCTGTCACTCGGGAAAGGAAAAATAGCATCACAGAGATCAGTGACAATGAAGATGACCTCCTGGAGTACCACCGGCGGCAGCGCCAAGAGCGGCTCCGGGAGCAGGAGATGGAGAGGCTGGTGAGCAGATGCCAGGGAGACTGCCACCATCCAAGGCAGGGTCTCTGCCAGGGTGTGGGCAGGCCAGCTGGCAGAGCAAGGGGGCCCTTGGATAGGGCCTGGGCTTATGCATCCCCAACTTCAGGATACACCTYAATGACTAGTATCTCATAGTTCTGGTGCCCTGAAGAGTAACTTTGAAACCTCTAAGGCTTTATTTTAAATTCTTTCTAATTTTGCATATATTCTACAACAGAGCATTTGTTTTAATGTATAAACTAAGTTTTAATTATTTACCCGAGTACAATGAATCTCTAGGAAAGCATACCACTTTTTTTTTTTAATATTTATTTTTTAGTTTTAGTTATGGTGAGGCCTTGTATCTCTCAGTTTGAGAAGCAAGTTGTGGGGATGAAAAGGCTGAGGCCTAGAGAGGGAATTGGATTTTCTGAAGTAATACAACAAGTTTTGGCAAAGTTGGAATTGGAACCCAAATCTGCTGTCTTTCCATCTCTGTCTGGGGCTTTTTCCCCCCGTTTTGGTACTGGGGATTGAACTCATGGACACTCCGCTACTGCCTGCCCCATTCCTATTTATTTATTTAATTATTTTGTTTTGAGAGAGGGTCTTGTTAAGTTTACCAGGCTGACCTTGAACTTGTGATCCCCCTGTCTCAGCCACCTCAGTAGCTGAGATACAGGTGTGCGCCACAATGTCCAGCTTGAGGCTTGTTCTTTTTTTGGTACTGGGGATTGAACCCAGAGGTGCTGAACCACTGAGCCACATCCCCAGCCCTTTATTGTATTTTGAGACAGGATCTTATTAAGTCGCTAAATTGCTGAGGCTGACTTTGAACTTGTGATCTCTTGCCTCATCCTCTGAGCTTCTGCGATAGTAGGCATACACCACAGTGCTTGGCCACCCTGGGATCTCTTCCTTTGAGGGGCAGTGAGCTTGGCTCCAGACACAGGCAGAGTTCCCCAACTCTTCCGGCATTGAGGCTTGTTCTTTAGAATAGCTCCTGGTCCTTCTTTCTTGCTTCTTTTTGACCTCTACAAATGGAAGGCAGCTGCTCATCTCAGCCCCAGCAGGATAACTGGGAGTATGGTAGCAGGGAATAGGGAAAGAACAGGGTGGGCAGCCCCTGGCTRGCATGTGTGATTGTGACCTATGCGTCTGCATGTGTGCATGTGGGTGCATGCAGGGCTGGGTGTGGCTCTGGGCAGCTGTGCTGGAGTTGGCATCTGAGCTGGGTTGGGGCCGGGGATTCTCCAGATGGTACAAGGAGCTCCAGAGGCTCTGGCCAATGTATACATACTTGAGCCCACATACAGGAAAATGGATTCTGCTCACTTTCCCTTGAGAGTGGAAGCATGGGGTTCCTGAGGGCCCAGGAACTATGGGATTGGYTTAAGGAGAGGAACTGGAACTGGAGACCCTTTGGGAAGAAGCTGGACAGTTTGGGGTGAGGGTGTGCAACAGTGTGCTTCTGCTGGGTGGGAAGTGGGCTCCCGGTCTTTCCCAATGCTCCATCTTCAGTCACTGTTTGGCCCTGGCCTACACCACAGTGCTTGGCCACCCTGGGATCTCTTCCTTCTTGGGGCAGTGAGCTTGGCCCCAGACAGGCAGAGTGCCTCAACTCTTCCACTGAGCCTCCCCACCCCCATCCCGTCACACAGGCACACCTTACCACCAGCCCTGACCTGCCCCACCTGCCACTTTAAGTCTTGGAGGCTGCCCGCCCTGCCCCTCCCACCCCAACCAGGCTGCTTATCTGGGTCCTAGGGCGGAGGCAGGGCATGGGCCCAGCCTTCTGGGTGCTGGGATTCTGTTCCTGCATTTTTTGCCATGGAACCGGGCAAGCAGCAGGAGGAAAACCGGGTAAGTGTGGAAGGGTGAGGAGTCATGGCTGAACTGTGTGTAGTCAGAAACCTTTGAAGAGGTTAACAGACCCCAGAGGGCCATGGGAGGCTCAGGACCAGGAGTCAGAGCTGGAGTACTGTGAATGGAGACTGGGACGCTGATCAGGAGCATGGTTGCACTATTTGTCCTCACATCTCCATCTTCTGAGAGGTGACTGCTTCTTGATGTGTGTAGGGAAGGCTGTAAGTGTCAGGGCCACAGAGCACTTATATCTGGGTCTGCACATTCAACAGCTAGCAGCAGCCCTCCCTGCTGGTAAGGAGTCTGAGGGTGGCTTGGAGCTGGGATGGGGATAGAGAGGACTGGGTCTCAGCTGTACCTCTTTTTCATGTGTGTCTGGGCTGAGTGTCAGGTCCTGTGGGCCCCTGGGTCTGCTTCCCAGCCTGTCTGTCTGCTGGTGCCCACCCAGCTGTATGTGGACTGTGTTTATCTGTGTGAGTATGTATTTGTGCATGTCAGGGCTGGTGTCTGTGTGTGTATCTACCTGTTAACGTAGGGCTAGTGCACACGTTGCATCTGCACCTGCCTGTGTGCATATCTGTGTGTCATTGTGCCCTTGTGCGTAAGATCTGTGTGTACCTGTGTCAGCGTGAGCACYTGAGTTGACATGTGTCTCATTGTGGTCTTCAGTCTGACTACCCATATGTCTCTGTGTGTGTTCATGTGTGTCCTTGTGACCACGTGGAAGCCCCATCCTGGGATAGAATGAGAAGGGAGAGGAAACAGGAAGATAGGAGGGGCGGGCCACATGGACAGGTGGCACACAGGCTGGTTCCTTATGTCCACTTCTGGGGCACTCACCTTGCCTTGGTTTCCCATAGTTCTTGGGGCTGGTGCTCTCCTGACTTGATGTTGGGCCCCATGCATTTAGTGTTCCAGCTCTCCCTCCCCGCAGGGCTCGGCCTCTCCCTCATGCCCTGTTCTGTCTACCCTTCCCAGGAGCGCCAGCGCTTGGAGACCATCCTGAACCTGTGTGCTGAGTACAGCCGGGCTGATGGGGGACCAGAGGCCGGGGAGCTGCCCAGCATTGGGGAGGCCACTGCAGCTTTGGCACTGGCAGGTCGGAGGCCCTCACGAGGCTTTGCCGGGGCCATTGTGGCCTCTGGACGGAGCAGTGAGGAGCCTGGGAGTGCTGCCCAACGCCTGTGGGAGAGCGTGGAGCGCTCAGATGAAGAAAATCTCAAGGAGGAGTGCAGTAGCACAGAGAGCACCCAGCAGGAGGTGGGGTGGGCTGAGGGACTCCACTGGATGAGGGGCAGGGCCAGGGCACCAGAGGGAGGCTGGTGTGGTGAATGCCAGGACCCAGTGGGAGGGAAGTAATGAAGGCATTGTTTGGGAAGAGACCAGAGACCAGAGGTGTAGAAATGAGGAGGCAAGGAAAAGAACAGAGGTGGTGTTGACTTTCCCGAGTTATTAATAGGCTTTTCACCTGCCTTTCCTTGGGGCCCCACCCAGGCCTGGCACTCTGGTAAATCTTTATTCCCTGAGGCTGAGCTTTTATGGCTTCCCTGGCAGGCAGGTGGGTAGCCTCCTGTCTCAGTTCAACCACTCTAAGTGCCCTGAAGAATATGTGGTTTGGTCTCTTAATCTGTTATCTTGGAAGGCACTGGGCATCCTTGGCTGATGGCTGCCCTCCCCTCCAGCATGAAGATGCACCTAGCACCAAGCTCCAAGGAGAGCTGCTAGCCCTAGAAGAGGAGCGGGCTCAGGTGTTGGGGCGTGTGGAGCAGCTCAAGGTCCGCGTGAAGGAGCTAGAGCAGCAGCTACAAGAAGCGGCCAGAGAGGTGAGCTGRCTGGTAGGGTACAGACCCCTATAGGGTCCCGAGTTCACTGTTTCAATAGGGATCTTGGTATCTACCTCCAGGCCGAAATGGAGAGGGCGCTGCTGCAGGGGGAGAGGGAAGCAGAGCGGGCACTGCTGCAGAAGGAGCAAAAGGCAGTGGACCAACTACAGGAGAAGCTGGTGGCCTTGGAGACTGGCATCCAGAAGGAGAGAGACAAGGTAATCCACACCTGGTCCAGCTTGGTGCTGGGAACCAGTGACCCAGGAGAGAAGGAGAAATGCCTTCCCTGGGGCCCTAAACCCCTCACCTTATGATCCACCCTGTATACCAGGTGGTTTCTGTGGTCCTCGAGGGCCAGGGGCCTAGTCCTCTCTGGAAGGTACCAGCTTGAAGGGTGCTGCCTGGGGCTGGGCTGGTGTTTGTGGTCTTCTCTGTCTGGGTCTCTGTGCTACCTCTGGGTGCCTGGGTTCCTGCCATTCTGGGCCCTTCATGGCCCTTTTAGGAAGTGCCAGGGCCCCTTCTTGGGCAGTGAGTACAGCTGGAGGGACTTGTGCTGGGAGGTGATTCAAGTTTGGGTCCCGCCATCTGGAGGACACTTTCCTCCAGCATGCCTCAGATGCTTAGGTTGTGGTCTTTGGGAGATGGTCCACAGGCCTCTGCTTCCCAAGTCTTCAGAATCTGCACCCTCCCATCTCAGATGGTCCCAGCTCCTGCCCCTGCCCCTTTCAGATTTCGTGCCAGCCTGCAGGGGCCGCTCCATCCCACAGGGGCCATTCCAGCATGTCCAAGATGCCCAACAACGTGCCAAAAGCTCTGAAGTGGAGAGGGGTCATCTATTTCTGGATTTGACAGTATTTTTCCAAGAATTAAATTTTCCCTTTGGATTTTTTGAGAGTATCTTCCTCTTGCCCTCAATTTTGAAAGTCTTAAAAATTCTTTTTTTTTTTTTTTTTTTTTTTTGAGCTTTGGCTCTGGCCCCCAAAACCACACTCCCAAATTCTGTGCCAAATTAACTCCATGCTTGTCAACCAGGCCTGCACTAACGCCCTGTCTAATCACTGTCCTGGGCTCTCCGCATGCCCCTAACTGCCAGGCCACCCAGGCAGGGCTGAGCCACGCCTGCTTTTGCACTAACTCCACAGGTGCCTTCGTGCCCTGACCTCTCCCTTCTAATATTGTCTCCTTCTTGATGTGGGATCTTATGGTTTTGATCAGAAAGGAAGTCGCAGGAGGGCACAGCAGCTAAACTTTTCTCTATGGGGCATTGGCAGAAGGGCTATAAAGGTGGTGGTGGTGGGGGGATGGTTGGCTCAAGAACTGCTCAGCCTGAACAGCCCCTCCCACTGGACAGTTAGCAGCTTCCTGCAGAGCAGGGGGAGGCAGGCTGTACTCCTTCAACCACCTGCCCTCTGGAGATGAGGGATAAGRAGGTCCAGTTGTGGGCATGGCCTTGGAGGGATTGGACAGGACCTCTGTGTCAACTCAGTGGCTCCCCACTTAATTTTCCCAAATCCACATACTCCAATCAGAAGAAGGGGTAGCCTCTCCCATCCTTCCCCCACCCCCTAGAGGCCRTCTAGAACACAGGTTATTTTAAAGGCAGGGTCCAAGAATGTGGAAGTGCCTGGACCCCAGGAGCTTCTGATCAGGGCCTTCTTTTGGAGATGGGTAGGTGGGTGGGTGGTGTGGAGGGAAGAGGCAGGRTGAGTGGTGGAGTGCAGTGTAGGGGCTTACTCTCAGGGATGAAGCTCAACATTTCATGAGGAACCTGCCTGTCCTCACTTCTCATTGACTTGAGATTGCTTGGAGGCCTGGGCTTTGCCTTCTCTCTGGGCCCAGCTGTTTGAGGTTGTGGCAGTGAAGGAAGGTGCTGTTGGTGATGGTGGTAGTGATGGTGGTGGTGGAAAAGGTTCATTTGTTTTCCCTTTACAGCCCTCAGCCCATGGCCCCACTKTGGCTTTGGTATCAGTAATCACAGTTTCTCCTTTGCCTGTCCTTTAGAGGGGTGACTCACCAACTCCTCCCCTCGTCCCCCTTGCCGCCCTCAGAGTGTCATCTCGCCCAGACAGAGCCATCCACCTCCTCTCTGTACCCACTCCCGGGGCTCCTATTACCATGGCAACGGCCGAACTAATTGTAACCCTCATCCCTGCTGAAATTCAGCCTGCAGAGCTGGCACCCCACCCCCACCCCGAGCAGGAGGGGAGGGCAGCCAGGGTGTTGGGCTGGGGTCCCCTTGCTGCATTGCTGTAGCTCTAACATCCTCCCCAGCCCCTGGATTTAACTCATCACTCCTCTTTCTCCCTGGGTTAAATTTTGGTCTCTGGGCAGCGCGTGGAGYTTGAGGCTCTGCTTCACCAGGTAGAATCAACTTTGACCTTGACTGGTTTGGAGAGGCAACAGAAGGCCTTACTTTAATGCCTACCCAGACATTCCTAGTTCAAGGAACTCCAAGAGACCAAAATTTCCACCCTGCCCTACACCTGTGCCTGTCTTACACTGTCCCCTGCGCCACTGAGCCCTGTTTTACACCTTTGCTTCTGGCCTGCCTCCCTCTACCTCCACCCTGTTCACTTTCCCTTTCTGCCCTCTTCTTCCTTCTCTTTGATTTCTTGCCCCGCTCGCGGTCTCGCGCTGCGCCCGCGCCCCTCCCCCGCCGGGCCGGAGTTGAGGAGTGTGTGTTCTCTCTCCCCTGTGCCCCGCCTCCCTCCCCTCCCGCCGACCAGGAGAGGGCGGAGCTGGCCGCGGGACGGAGGCACCTGGAGGCCCGCCAGGCGCTCTACGCCGAGCTCCAGACGCAGCTCGATAACTGCCCCGAGTCAGTGCGGGAACAGTTACAGGAGCAGCTGAGAAGGGTCAGTTCCACCAGCCCCCTCCCCCGGCCCCCGCGGGCCACCGCCCAGACAGAAGAGAGGAGAGCAGTGGGACGGGACCGCCTGGCCCCTGCAGTACCTGCCGGACACCAGGGTCGGTGCTGTGGCTTGGAGGGGACTGGCAAGGTTGGGGGGGATCAGCGCTCCAGGCTGTGATGCCCGCTAAAGGCGCACAGCCGAACAGAGCAGAGGGAGTTGGGTGGGGGCAGGTGCCTTCCCTAGTTTTCCCGGGTGCAGCCCCCCAAACCCACACCTCTGTGGCCTGGCCTTCCTGGCCCAGAGTGGCGTTGTGAGCACCACCCAATTCCCAATGTCGCTGTCGTTGAAGGAGGCAGAGGCCCTGGAGACGGAGACAAAGCTCTTTGAAGACTTGGAGTTCCAGCAGCTGGAGCGCGAGAGCCGCGTGGAGGAGGAGCGCGAGTTGGCGGGCCAGGGGCTGCTGCGGAGCAAGGCCGAGCTGCTGCGCAGTGTCGCCCAGAGGAAGGTGTGTCCCGTCCACTCCTGCTGAGGGCKGCCCGTGGGGAAGGGGGCTGGAGGCCAGTAACCTGCGTTGAAATCKAAGTTGGTGATGTAATGAGAGTTAACTTCACTTTTGAGGCCTCATTTCCCTGTCTGTAGTATTAGAAGTATAACAAGATTCTATGAGAATTAGTATGTAGARGCAGAACAGGACATGATGGTAGAAAGTGCTCAACAAAGGATGGCTAAAATTAAGCTCTGACTCCCCTCAGTCTTCCAGTAGAAAGTGGAGTGGGCTCACCTTGAGAGTTGGGCACTGATTGGTCAGAGAAGTAAAAGATGGAGGTGGAGAGCTGGGCATGGTGGCCCAAGCCTGTAATCCCAGCCACTTAGAGGCCAGGCCGAGGCAGGAGGATCAAAAATCCAAGACCTGCCTTGGAAACTTGGTGAGACCCTGTCTCAAAATTAAAAAAAAAAAAAAAAATAGAAAGGGCTGGAATGTAGCTCAGTGGCGGAGTGCCCCTGGGCTCAATCCCTAGTACCTCCCCCCCACAAAAAGAGGAAGAAGAAGAAGAAGAAGAAGAAGAAGAAGAAGAAGAAGAAAAAGAAGAAAAGAAAGATGAAGTGGAAGAGGAAGAGGCTTGCTCCTGTCATTATTTATTTATTTTAGTTTTGGGCATTGAACCCAGGGCCCCTCCTTCATGCATGCTAAGCACATACTCTACCACTATCCCCAGTCCTGCCCTTGCCCATGTAAGGCTGGGACACATATAGAGACCTATGATCTGAATATTAGAGCTAGCTGGGGCCCCAGGATAGGCATCTTCTAGATTCCATCTCTGGTTCAGTCTCCACATGGCTGAGGTATAAATCAAGGGGATTGAGTATTGTGTTCTGGTGGGTTCTACTGCACTAGTGCTCTGATAATCTGCTTTTGATCTCAGCCAGACYAGGCACAAATGGTGACAGGATGATGGGCAGGTGTGTGTTAGGCTGAGGCAGGGGAGGGAATGTAGAAGATAGACCAGGTGGTTCACATGCTCTTGGCTGAGCCTCAAGCTCGTRCATCCATATACAAGCATTGCAGTTTCCCTGGCTGGAATGAGTGTGGAAGGTAAGGATGCAGATCTAGGGAACAGTGTCCAAAAGTGGTAAGTTGGGGGACTGGTTTGGTGGCAAAAGTGGAGCTGCTGGACCTCCCAAGTCTAGAGAGTCCATGCTTTCTTCCCAGAGCTGCATCCACTTTCCARTGTAAGGCTGATGCAAGGAAAGAAGAAAACTGGCATTTCCCAAGCCCATGGGTATGTGCCAGGGACCCTGCCAGGAGGCCTCCTTGCTGTCCTTAGGTCATCTCACAGGTGCTCTTATTCTCTTTTAATAGACAAGGAAACTAGAACCTGCAGAAGCCAAGTTTGTCCAAAGCCTCCCATCTATGGATTTCAGAGTTAGAGTTGGAACCCAGGCCAGCTTGGTCCACAATATATGTTTCTTGTACTGTGGCCCACAGGGTCTAAGGGCTGGCACTTYTTCAGCCTCTTTTTCTTTCCTCCTAGAGGAGGTGCAGCAAAGAGCCTTAGATCAACTGATCTTGTGCCTTTGAAGCCCTAGTGGATGTGAGCTCAGGAAGTCTGGGAGGGGTCAGTGGTAGTGGGCTCTACTTCATTCCTCTCYACGCCCACCATGGCCTCTGGGTGCCCTCAACCATTGAGACCCTGGGGGTCACATTCTTCCCCATGCTCCTCCTGGTGAGCCTTGCCTAATCTTCATCCTGGGCTCCCAGTGTCTCACCCCAGGCTGTGTCTGCCCTGGAGCTCTGTGCTTCTCTGTCCACTCTGGTTCAGAGCGGTTGAAAGCACTGGCCTTGGAATCCAACAGATCTGGTTCTAGCTAWACCACTTACTAACTAAACGATGTTTGCTCCTAAATATGTCTGTTTTCACTTATGAAATGGGCATAAGAACACTTGCCTCATAAGATTAAAATGAGGTAACAAATGCAAAACATTTAGCAGAGTTCCTGGCTCCTMCTAGATTTTTGGTAAATGGCACTCCTGCTGAGGGTCTGCCTGGCCTGCTGCAGCACTGACTTGAGATGACTCCAGGTTAGGGAGTCATGCCTTCCTCTCCCATGTGTTGCTCTGAAGATGCTTTAAGACCTTCTCTTCCAGAAAACCTTCCTGGGAATAACCCAGCCCATTGTCCCTAGCCCTCATGCTTCCCCCTCACTAGTGTCTTTTCATTTCCTTTCAGCACAAGATTGTTGAGTGAGGCACTGTGCTAAGCCCTGTTGGGGTTATAGAGATGGAAAAGACACTGGTCCTGCCCTTGGATCTTATAGTTAGCCAGGGCTGGTGGTGGAGACAGATGTATTCACAAATAGCAATAGGATAAGAAGGGCAGTGAGGTGGAATATGAGCACAGAGAAGGGAGCAAAGAAATTGGTGATCAAGGAAGGCTTGTGGTGGGGTAGCATTTGTTCTGGGAGGATGAGGAGACTCAGGATGAGTGGACAAACCCCAGATAGCCCTTTTGGACTGAGGAAGGCYTGAGTCCAGAGGCGCAGAGCTGGGTATATAGCATGCCGAGCTAGGGGTACAGAGGGCCAAGCAGGCAGGAAACTGCAAAGGGTGGGACTGGTTGCCAGGTAAGGAGTTTGTGCTGTAGCCTATGGGTAATGAGAAACCACTGTAAGATTTTGAGGAAAGAGGTAGTATGACCTTAGTTGTGGATTTAAAAAAAAAAAAAAGAATTCAAGTAATATATATTCTTTTTAGAAAGATTAGAAAACTCAGATAAAGCCAGAGACCTTTTAGGAAGACATTTTGTGACAATGTAGAGTATATCAGAAATTTGAGAGTGGAAGCAGGAGGTTAGTGAGAGGACCCAGCTGGGTGGTGGCTGTGGGTGCATGAGGCAGGGAGCTATTCAGTGTCTCTAGGCTTCAGGAGCCATTGGCTATGGGGTGAGGGAAGAGAGATTTGGGGATCTGGGTTCTGGTGGTAATGCCTGGTGGCAAAGTGTCACTGGTTGAGGGAGGGAGGAGCAGAGATGGAGCTGACCATGGCAGCCAGGTCTTCCTGGGTTGAGTCAAGGCCAAGGYGAAGAGGTGGTTGATTCCCTTCATTGGAGCCTGGGGTCTCTGGGCAGGAGAGAGTCAGCCATTCCTCACCTTGGGCTCAGCCCCATCTCCCCAGGGCCTGACTAATCACCCCATCTCCTTAGGAGCGCCTGGCCGTCCTGGACAGTCAAGCTGGGCAGATCYGGGCCCAGGCTGTGCAGGAGTCGGAGCGTCTGGCCCGGGACAAGAATGCATCCCTGCAGCTGCTGCAGAAGGTAGCTCCTTGGGTTGGGTGGGGCTTGGGAGTAGGGTGAGTGCAGGGAGCACAGAGGGCTGGGGTGGACCTTTGCCAGCATGGAGCCCCGGTCACAGAGTCCCCCCCTCTATCACCCTTGCCCCCTCTTTCCTCTGACTCTGCCACTTGGGGCTCACAGGAAAAGGAGAAACTGACTGTGCTGGAAAGAAGGTACCACTCACTCACGGGGGGCAGGCCTTTCCCGAAGACCACCTCGACCCTCAAAGAGGTAACATTGTTGGGTCAGCTCCTAGCTTCTGGTCAAGGGAGGGGTCCTGGGAGGCCTGGAGCAACATGTGCCACCTTCACCCCAATGATATCTTCCTGAATGGAGAGATTTGAGGAGTTCCCTGAGGTCTGGGATTGGCTCTCTGTGGCCACCAACTTGCTTCCTGTTAGTTGCTTTCGGGAGTCATCAATCTCATCATTTTGGGGGCTGAATTTTTGTGAGGGGCCTGGTGGACAGCTCAGAGGTTTGGTGGGGTATGGGACTGTGTGGACTTATCTCAAGGGGCAGGGTAGGGGTCAAGGGGTCCTGATGCTGGGGTTCCCTAGGCTATAGTCTGGAGACAGGCTTTCATCTCAGAAGTGGGCATTGAGGCCCCTCAAGCAGTTCTTTCCCCATCTGTACATGCTGTGTGTGAAGTACACCTAGGATAGGTTTCCCGACCTCTTTCCAGCCTTCCTATCTCTTTCATCGCACAAGCAGTTTAGGCCTGAGTGGGCTGASTGGGCTGACTGGGCTGAGCCCCTCACTATGTACCCTCCCTGTAGGCTCAGCTGCTCATCTCCGAATCCTCAGAGATGGGGCTGGGGACCAAGGCTCTGGGCCCATTCTCGGGGTCTTCTCAGGCTGGGGTCTCCTCTGTCTCCTTCACCCCGTCTGCTTCCACTCTACTCTGCCCCAAAGCACAAGAGGTAATTGCAGCTAACTGCCTGCTCTTCTTTGCCCGCTGCCTTGTCTGCGTGCCCACTGAGCTCCTGCCTACAGCTCCTCCCTAGGGCCCAGCTGAAGGGCGTGTGATGACTATCCTTTCGCTGGGCAGAGTGTGGGAGTTTGTGTGAGTGTGCCATTTTGTCGTCACAGAGTGCCTGATCAGCCTTTGCAAAATGAGAACATTGATTTGCATATTAAATTTGCATATATTCTGCATGCCACTCATCAATTTTCACAATACACTGGACACTCTGGCCCATTTTCCCTTTAAGTTACCCCAGAGGACAGTCTGGCTGTGGAGCTCATCCTGCGTGGGTGCCCTGCATAGGGCAGGCCAAGGAATCTATGCTTTGATCCAGCATATATTGTGGGTGCCTGCTGTACCTCCAGCACATATATAAGCTCAGGTTCTAAGTTCTAAGTATGACTGTCCTTGTCCCCCAACTCAGTCAAGTGTGCCGACATCTTTGCAAGTACTTACCCTAGGCAGTGGGCCCATATTCCTGCCAGGGCTTTTAGTTGCTCTTTCTCAGAGGTTGCCTTCTGAGGCCCTAGTGGGGTCTCCACTTATTCGCTCTTTTCCAATTCTGCCCTGGTGAATRGGGTGTGAGGGGCCCTGGGGAACAGTGTGCCTTGTGTTCGATGCTGCATGTGTGTGCCCCACTGGGGATGCTCAGCGGTTAAGATGGGTAGGGTTTCTAGGTACTGGGTGCTGCTCCTTGTGGGCTTTTGGAAGATCTTCTCTGAGCTTATTCACCTGCTTTAGCCAGGACTCGGGGATGGGCCTTTAGGATATTCTGGAGACAGTGACTAAATGCCAGTTTGGTCCCCAAAGTGGAGGTCAGGAGGAGCCTTCAGCAGTCAGGCCTCTCCAAGTTTCTTCACTTTCAAAGCCCTCGGTGGCTACCGTGAGCATCCTACTYCTGCTCTGGGCTCTGTTTTGACATGGAGTGATGGCTCTGTGCCTGGCATGGAACGTGGGATGCTAGAGACCTGGTTCAACCCTGTTAACCTTTTTTCTGCCCCCCCCCCATCGCCCCCTTGGGCATCCTAGGAGTATGTGAGCCTGGCAGAGGTTTTCCAGCTGTGCTTCYGCTTGGACCCTTATGCTTCTGCCACCTCCCCCAGCGTGCTCACACAGCCCCTGCCTGACAGTGAGGTACCAGCCACCGAGTGTGCCCATCTGTGCCTAAGGGCCTCCTTGTGGATGCCCTCCATTTCCCCTTGGGCCTGGGTGGGGGTGGAGGAACTGCAGGGTCTGTCTTCAGCAATAAGGGAGAAGGACGTTGGCACAGTAGGGTCAAGACTGGTTCCCTTTCTCCCTTGAGCCTAGGGAGCTGTCCTCAGCTCCTGATGGCCCCAAGAGGAGCGGGCCTTCTGCTCTGGGAAGGCATCCTGCCCAGGGACTCTGGCCATCCTGGGCTGGACTCTGCTCTGTGCTTCCTCCCTTTCCCTCCCCTGTGGGAAGGGCGTCTCTTGGGTTCCAGTCCCATTAACCTCTTATGTTCCCTTCTGCATCTGGCCTTCCCCCAAGTACGTGACGCTTGAGCAGCTAAAGGTGCTGTGGGGCACCTCACCCACACCCCCAGCCCCCGCGCCGGGCCTGCCTCCCTGGGCCTCTGCCTCTCGGGACCTGGTTCCCRCCACCTGCCTTCCTCCCGCGCTGYCTTCCTCCTTCGCTTCCATCACGCCTTCACCCAAGGTCGGTGGTCTGTGTGTTCTTGCTGCCCCACCATGGCTGGCTGGCTGTTTGTGTGTGTGCCACCCTTGTTTGCCGGCCTTGGCCCTGGGCTGGCCCTAGGGGAGTGCTTGCACAGTGCCTGAGGGCTGGCTGGCTAGCTGGCTGGCAGGTGAGGGTCTGTGCTCTGGGAGCTGTCCCCTGTTTCTCTTTGCCCTTTTAAAGCCAACTGTCATCTCACTGTTTTTCTCTTCCTTTTCTTTATGCTCTCCTTTCTCCCTCCCTCCCTTCCTTTCTTCCCTCACCTCCCTGTCCATCTCTCCCTCCTGACCCTCCTTTATCCTCCCTCCCATCCTCTCCTCCCTGCACCCTCTTCCTCCCATCACCTTTCCCCTCCYGTCCGGGCCCTTCCTCTTCATCCCCACCCTCCACTTGCCCCTTCAGATGGAGAAGCTGCTGCTCCCTGCTGTAGACTTAGAGCAGTGGTACCAGGAGCTGATGGCCGGGTTGGGGACTGGTCCCACTGCAGCCTCCCCTCGCTCCTCCCCCCCGCCTCTGCCCGCCAAAGCTTCCCGTCAACTGCAGGTAACCTCCTCACCATCTAGCCTTCCAAGTCTTGCTCCTGTCTACACTGAGTCCTCCTGCTAATCCCTCAGCCACACAGTGCATTCTGGGTAGTGGGTCATCCCAGCATGGCAAGGAGGGCCTTTGGGCCCTGAGAGAGCAGTGAGGGACTCTCTGTGGGCAGCTATCTTGTTGTTTAGGACAGCTGGAGGATGAGCCTCCTAAGTCCTAGGGTGACATGATGGAAGGGGGTGGAAGGGGCTTCTCCCCAGAGCTTTCCTCCCAGGATGGGGGCCTGACACACTCTTGGGCCTATTGCAGCTAGAACCAGTGTGTCCTTGGAGAACAGTCAGTATTTTGTTCTCCTGATTTCTCAGGAGTGACACTTGGGGACAGAAAAGAAGGGGACATCCCCTTCTGAAGTTGCATCCCCAGACACATGCCCCAGCCTCCTTAGAGTTGCCACAGAGGGCAGGGCCTTCCTGAGCCTGCAGCAAGCTGCAGGGTGACCATGGGGCAGGGTGATAGGCAGTCTCCTCCCTAAGCTTTGCTGCCCTGCTGCCCTGCCTGAGATTCCACCATTCAGTATTCATTCTTGAGTGAAGGCACTGTACCTCTAAGGCTATGACCTGGGGATTGAACACAGGGACACTTAACCACTGAGCCACATTCCCAACCCTTTTTTTATGTTTTAAGACAGGGTCTCACTAAATCCTTAGGGCCTCACTGAGTTACTGAGGCTGGCCTTGAACTTRCARACCTCCTGCCTCAGCCCCCTGAGTTGCTAGGATTACATGTGTTGGCATATGTAATCCATATTTGGCTCCGTGTTCCTTTTGAGAGGTTGGTTCATAGAATATCTGTGGTACCTCTCCTGTGTCCAGCTGCCTTGAGAATCTGACATGGTCTCATTCATTTAATTACCCCCACAGGCCTTTGAGGTGTTGTTAACTCTCACTTCTCACCTTTGAGATGATGTTAACTCTCATTTTACGGATCAAACACTGGGGCGTGGAGAAGATGARTGTTCTTGCCAAGGTGACACAGCTGGAAAGTTGCAGAGAGTCAGGTCTCTTGACTCCAAAGATCATATTCTCTGTGTTAGTGTTGCAAGAGAGCTTGGCAGTTATTTAGTCTAGAGCTGCCCCTTCCTTTTGCAGATAAGGAAGCCAAGGCCCGGAGTCCAGAGGTGCATGGCCTGAGGTCACACAGCCTGTTAGTGCAGAGCTAGGACTGGAAGGACACTGGTCTCCAGTTGGTGTCCTATGCAGATCTGCCTGACTGACATGGACTCCTTGCATGGGTCAATTTACAGTTCCTTTCTCAGACCCAGGGTTGAGCCAAGGATCGGCCTTGGAAGAAATGGTGTGTGAAGGAGGCCTGGCAGCTGCAGAGAGCCTCTCCCTCCTGGCCTGGCTGAGGAAGCTCAAGCTCTTGTTAGCTGGAGCCAGAAGGTCTCAGAGGCCCGGTGCAAGGCAATACCTGAGATCACAGCCTGCCTAGGTTACAAGGGGGTGTGACCAGTGGGGGACCCCGAGGTCACAGAGCAGTGTCTTTTCCCTCCAGGTTTACCGTTCCAAGATGGATGGTGAGGCCACCAGTCCCCTGCCCCGGACTCGCAGTGGCCCCCTCCCCTCCTCTTCTGGCTCTTCCTCCTCGTCCTCACAGCTCAGCGTGGCTACTCTGGGCCGTAGCCCTTCTCCAAAGGTCTGAGGACAGGGCGATGGGAAAATGGAGACTGCCATGTTGGGAAGAGGCCAAAACCACCCATGCAGGCCTTGGGGGTGAGGTGGGGTGCTGAGCCCCTGTGACAGCCCTCTCTTCCCTCTGTAGAGTGCTCTGCTCACCCAGAATGGCACTGGCAGCCTTCCCCGCAACCTGGCAGCCACATTGCAGGACATTGAGACCAAGCGCCAACTGGCTCTGCAGCAGAAGGGTGAGTGGCCATGGTGCCAGCCCCACTGCTCCCTGGGGGACCCCCCTCCCCACCTTTCACAGGCTGTGTTTCCTTCACTGGGTTCTGGGCAATAGCAGAAAGGATTTTGATTAGGTGCCTAAGGAAGAGCATCACTGGATATTAAGAAGACTCCAGAACAGGGAACAAAGGGTCTAGGGGGTTGTGACATGTTCTCTCCTAGAGAGTCCAGCCAATAAGGGAAGTGTTTGTTGACCTAAGTAGGTCTAGACATTGCCCTGTCTGGAGGCAGGGGGATGGATTGGATGACCTCCAGAATGGTTCCCTGAGACATTGGCTCCGGGGACCCAGAGTCCCTGTTGCTCGTTTGCATTTTGGTTGTTTTGAAAAGCCCATGTCTGTRCCTCTCTCTCCTCTCACCCCCTGTGTCTCTCTTCCGTACCCTCTGCCTGGGGTTCCCCACATCAGTCGAGTTGCTTCCTGCCGAGCCCCTCCCAACTGACGACCCAGCAGGTAGAGCGTTGGTCACTGAGGGCATTGCTTTGGCCAGGCAGCCCCCGCCCCAGCATCAGCATGATGTGTCCTGCCCAGGGCCCTGCTGCCTGCAGGCAGGCTCCCAGGCCGAGCTGGTCTGGGTGCCCGCTGGCCTTGCCCCTCCAGCTCACCCAAGCTGCCCTCAGCTCTGCTCCTTGTCTCTGGTGCCTTCTGTCCTGCTCTTGTTGCTCTTGCTTCTGCRTTGCAGGGGGCTGCATTGGCAACCCGATGCTCCTATGGCTTCCGCATCTCCTTCCTCCCCTAGCAGGCAGTGGGTGCATGTGTCCTGCTCCCCTGTTCAGGCCTTGGTTGTAAGCTGCAGCCAGCTGGCCGTCATGCTGCCAGGGTACCCCTGGACAAGTTTCATGCCCTGTGTGGGCTTGGGATGCTGAAAGGATGCTGAAACCAGACTGTGCGCTGTGGCCAGTTGTGCGGGCAGCGAAGCCTGGGCAGGSTTGCTAGTCTGGAGCTGTTGGGGCTTCAGGGAAGCTGGTGCTGGGAGAGGGCTGCCCTGTGTTAACCTGTCCCTGCTCGCCTCCTCCCTCTGTCTGTGATGATTTGTGATGATGCTAGTATCTCCTCTCCTGGTTGGGTGGGGAGCCCACTGTGACTCCCACCTGTCTCTCCTGCAGGGCAGCAGGTGATCGAGGAGCAGCGGCGGCGGCTGGCTGAGCTGAAGCAGAAAGCGGCGGCGGAGGCGCAGTGCCAGTGGGATGCCCTGCATGGGGCAGTGCCCTTCCAGGCAGGCCCCTCGGGCTACCCCCCACTCATGCACCACTCCATCCTGCACCACCTGCCAGCTGGGCGGGAGCGTGGGGACGAGGGTGAGCACGCCTATGACACGCTGAGCCTGGAGAGCTCAGACAGCATGGAGACCAGCATCTCCACTGGAGGCAACTCAGCCTGCTCTCCTGACAACATGTCCAGGTACCTCCGCGCCAGGCCCACCACCTCTGCGCCAGGTCCACCTCCTCCACCATGTCCCCTTGGCTCATTGATGCAGCCTTTCTTCCTCTCCCTCCCAGTGCCAGTGGTCTGGACGTGGGCAAGATTGAAGAGATGGAGAAGATGCTAAAAGAAGCTCATGCAGAGAAGAGCCGGCTCATGGAGTCCAGGGTGAGGCTWACTTGGGCCAAGAGGCAGAAGGCAGTGGGGCCCAGAGCTGCCCTCCGCCTGCCAAGGGCCTGTGCTCTGTCCCAAGCCCTTTCACCCCATTAACTGCCCATTGTTCCCTTGGGAATAGAGAATTTAAAAAGTCTGTGTTCCTCGAATGGGCACAGGAGGTTTGTCCAGGGTGTAGCCTCACAGCTCTTCAGCACGGGGAAGGCAGCACAGCGACCCCGTCCAGCAGGCATTTCTTGAATGGGAACTTCCAGTCTGATTGCTTCCTTCTGTGGAGTTTTGGGAACCATGGGAAGTTTGATTTCTGTCTAGAAGGTCATTTCTCTTGGGGGTGCTTAGGAAATCAGGAACTGGGGGTTGAGGCCCAGGATGGGAGAGGAGGCAGTTGTCCAAGCCAGAGCAGAGGTGTTGGCTGGGGAGCTCTGGAAAAGTCCGATCTTCTTCATGTGTGCTTGGAGCTGGGACTCAGAAAAGAGGGACTAGTGGTTTATCCTGGGCAACTAAAAGGCAGAGGGAAGCTGTGCCTGGGAGAGAAGTTCAGCAGAATGTCTGCAGAGGCTGACCAGGCACTCTGCATCTTTATTTTTATTTATTTATTTATTTTAATGGATCATGCTATGTTGCCCAGGTGATCTCATTGAACTTGTGGGCTCAAGCCACCACTCTTGGCTTACTTTAAAAAAATATTTTGTTTTCTTTTGCTCTGCATCTTTTGAGATGAGAGTGAGAGTCAGCAGCTAGAGATTTTCGTTTGTTGGTTTTAAAAGACTCTAAACATTTAGATGGCAGACCAGAATAGAGTGCCTCTCAGTCTTATTCACATCAAAGTAGTACAAAGCATCTCTTGGTGAATGGAGAGGGAAAGATGTTCTGCTGAGTTTCAAGCTGGGAAGAAATTGCAAATGGCAAAGTTTTTAGCATTGGTTAAGACATATAAAGTATTGAGACATGCTCCGTATTTAGGAATTTTTTTTTTTTAAGAGAGAGTGAGAGAGGAGAGAAAGAGAGAGATAATTTTTAATATTTATTTTTTAGTTCTCGGCGGACACAACATCTTTGTTGGTATGTGGTGCTGAGGATCGAACCCGGGCCGCACCCATGCCRGGCGAGCGCGCTACCGCTTGAGCCACATCCCCAGCCCTAGGAATTGTTTTATTGACCCTGATACCTTTTGGGATGGTTTATATAAGTTCTTTGTGAACTTGGTGTCCTATCATATTTTTTCCCCATAAAGTTTAGGGTTCAACAACAAATATTAACTACACAAAAAACTAATTTGAAGTTTCCAAGGGCCTTAAATCAGTGATAAGGGAAGGACTACTGAATATACTAGCTGTCAAAAAAAGTTGTCAAATAATTCATGTTCTAGGAATTCAGATAAAGTATTAAGAGCTCCATTTATTTATTGAGTGCTACTTTACTTCTTGGATCAGTGATGGGCATTTATATACATGATCTCATTTAATTTTTATTACAATTCTAGGAGTAGGCATTCTTTAATCCACCCCATGCCCCCTTTTTTGATACCAGGGATTGAACCAGGGGTGCTTAACCACTGAGCCATATCCCCAACCCTTTTTATTTTTTGAGACAGGGTCTCGCTAAGTTGCTTAGGGCCTTGCTAAGTTGCTGAGGCTGGCTTTGAATTTGGAGTCCTCCTGCCTCAGCCTCCTGAACTGCTGGGATTTGAGGTGTGTGCCTCTGAGCTTGACAGGTATAGGTATTCTTAAACCCATTTTCCAGATGAGGCAATTGAGGCTTAGAGAGTTTAATGATTCTGTGAGGGTAATAATGGTGGCAGAACCAGCATTGGAAGCCGGGACAGTCATACTTTAAAGGGCTTATCCTTAGCCAGCAGGGCTTTCAGAGAAGGTGAACTTTGAGGACGGTGCCTCCTCTGCCCTGGCCACTGTCCCAGGCCTCCTGTAGCCCTGTGCAGGCCTGAGGAGGACCAGCAGGGGGCACAGAGGGCTTCCTTGGGAACTGACCCCTGACCTTGGGGACAGGAGAGGGAGATGGAGCTGCGCAGGCAGGCCCTGGAGGAGGAGCGGCGGAGGCGGGAACAGGTGGAACGGAGGCTGCAGAGTGAGAGCGCTCGGAGGCAGCAGCTGGTGGAGAAGGAGGTCAAGATGCGGGAGAAACAGTTTTCTCAGGTGAGTGGGTGCTGGGGTAGGGCCATGGTCGGATAGATGGTGCAGGCTGAAGAGGAGGATGGATGTCCTCTGGTGGGCTGTCAAACTTGTTCTCCCGAAAGATTGCCATTGGTCCCCCAAAACAGACCCACTGGAGCTTGTTCAAGTCCGTGTGTGTGTGTGTGTGTGTGTGTGTGTTTGTTGGTGGTGGGTGAGTTGTGAGGTTGTGGCAGGCCACCTACAGAGCCTTGGGGTCAGAGAAGAGGGTCTGGACAGGCCTCTCAGACATGGGAGCTGAGAGTCAAGAGTCAGTGTGACGTCGTTGGCTTCTCTCTGGCCCCCCATCCACTCTGTGAATTTGTGCTGCCCGCTCTCGCCCACTTGCCCTGTTGCCTGTCCTGCCTATGGCACCCCACCGTGTCCTGACCCTAGCCGCATGGGATCTTTCCACTCCATCCCTTGTTGGTAGATGACCTCACTCTGACTTTGGGTTCACAACTCCAAGAGCCTGGCCATAGCTTCTCCTCGGACAGAGATTCCCTCCTTGCCCCGAGCCAGCCCTTCCACAGGAAATGCGGGCCAGGAGAAGGAGAAATGGGGCTGAGAAAAGGCATCTCCCTGTGTCCCTGCTCCCAACCCCTGGCCCTGTGAGGACCTGTAGGATCCAGATGAGCCGTCCCTTCTGATGGGTTCTCTGCAGGCTTCCCCAGGTGGGGGTTCTCTGGGATCTCCCCACAGTGGTGACAAGCAGTCACCTGTTTTCTGCAGTGCAACAACATAAGTGCTAAAGGRCAAATCACCTGGGTGGGTTTGGGAATTAAGAAACAATCAGGGACTCGGTCAGTTCACCTCTGTTGTCAGAATCTTTTTTCTTTCTTTCTTTTTGGTACTGGGGATTGAATCCTGGGGTGCTTTGCCACTCAGCCACAACCCCAGCTCCTTTTTTATTTTATTTTTTTTGTTTTGAGACAGGATCTTGCTAAATTGCTGAGGCTGGCCTTGAACTTGTGATCCTCCTGTCTCAGCCTCCCGAGTCGCTGGGATTACCACTGTGCTCAGCTCAGAATCTTTGTCAAATGCCTAATTCTCTTTTCCTGCCTCAGTTGGTGACGGTCTCTTCCAGTCCCTGTCCTGTGGCTCAGTCATGCTGGAGGGGATGCCAGTGTCTGGTATCAGAGGGGGGCTAGAGTCAGTCCATCTTTGGGGGTTCCTTCTAGAAGTTGTATGTTCTGTGTTTCTTTAACTAATTTGTGATTTTCCTTTTCCTGCTGTTTTAAGATTCCACTTGACTGAGGATTCTAGTTAGTGTGGGAAGTGGAGGAGGCCTTAGTGATCATCTAGTCCTTTTACATGTAAGGATAGTAAGGCCCAGATGGGAATAAGACTTGAATTTGGAGAGCAGATTTATTTTATCTATTTATTTACTTTTAGGGGTTCTAGGGATTGAATCCAGGGRCTTTACCACATCGCCAACCCTTTTCATTTTTTGAGACAGGGCCTCACTAAGTTGCTTAGGCTGGCTTTGAACTTGCAATCCTCCTGTCTCAGCCTCTCGAGTCAATGGCATTACGGGTGTGTGCCATCATGCCCAGCTTTATTGTGTTTTACATTTCTGGGGATTAGGCCATGGCCTTGCACATACCACCACCAAGTTACACCCCGGCTCTAGAGAGCAGATTTCTTATTGGACTTCTTTTCTTGGAGGATGTTCACATCAGGTCTTTKGTTCAGCCCAGGAGGGAGGAGGAAGGAGGGGCAGGAGCCAGGTGAGGATGACTGTCTTGGTCCCAAGTGGGGAAACTGAGGCAAGGATTCATTTGGCATTTTGCTCAGGCCTAAGTGGAGTTAGCGTGTAAGTCTTCACTTTTGCCATCAGGCCTGTGAAACCTGAGGGACAGAGTGAGGGTTGGGAGAGAGTGCCAGGTTGTAGGGGATGCAGGAGAAGCCATGGGACCAGGACAAGGGAGTGATGGGGAAAGAGAAGAGAATGCTGACCCTGCCCCCTGCTCCAGGCACGGCCCCTGACCCGCTACCTGCCTATCCGGAAGGAGGACTTTGACCTGAAGACCCACATCGAGTCATCAGGCCATGGTGTGGATACCTGCTTGCATGTGGTGCTCAGCAGTAAGGTACTAGGCTGATGTGGCCCCAGAATGCTGGGGACAGGGTCCTGTGATCAGAGGCATTCCTGGGGCCTTGGGATAGTGGCCTCTGTTCCTTTCCCAGCCTGACGAGGTCTGTGTCCCAGACCTAATGAGAGGTTGGGGCCTGAAGAAATACTGGGAACAGCCCCTGGGGATACAGGCGCAGGGGACAGCACATACTTATGGAGGCTGCTCCGGGAGAAGGATTTAGGGGCTGCGCTTTGGGTTCTTTCTTACTCCTGCTTCCCACCAGGTCTGCCGTGGCTACTTGGTCAAGATGGGAGGAAAGATTAAATCCTGGAAGAAGCGCTGGTTTGTCTTTGACCGGCTCAAGCGCACCCTTTCCTACTATGTGGGTGAGTACCACCTGGGGCCGCCCAAAACTGGTACCCCTGGGATTTAACACCCAGGACAACTGACCTCCCCTTCCTGAAAGTGTATGGAGTCTACRTGGTTCACCTCCATTTAGTTATTYGTTCATTCATTCATTTGCTCAGTGTTACTGAGCATCTGACAAATTCTAGGTACCACTGTAAGTTCTGATGATAAGCAAAGTGGCCACAGCTCTGTCCCTTGGAAACTCACTATCATGAAGGCAAACACTGAACAAAGATTAAAAGAAAACACAGTGGGTTTGCTGATAGGGGACATCCCACACAATGCAGGTGCACAGGGTGGGCTGAGGATGCCCTTTTGGATAAGTTCCCTTAGAAATTATCCAAGATAAGCAGTTAAGCAGTGCCAAGGGGCACTCAGGATAGTCCAGGGATAAGGGATAAACAACTGGCCCCCACTGCTCCCTCAACTCCCTTTCTTCTGTCTCTGGTGTAGTTTCTATCCCTGGAACTCCTTTTGGACTTTTACCTCTTGGAGTATATCCTAGTCAGGTTAAGCAAGGATAAGCTGTAGTAACAACCAGTTCTCAAATTCTGGTAGCTCAGAATTTCAGTCTTCCTTTTTATTCCCAGTATGTATGTGGTGTACATTGTGGGTTGTCTTTGCTTTAGAATATGTCTTTCTAGACCATTGCTGGCCACGGTGACAGAGGGAAAAGAGATACTTAAATGGGCCTTGCATTGGCATTAAATACCCCAGCTTAGAAGTGACACACATCCTAACTGTTCAAAAGCCATGGATGGGTCCTTTCACTGAGTCACACAATCCCACTGCCACAAATCCAGGAAGAGCAATCCCACTAGAAACCTGGAAGTGGGGAAAGGCTGCAGGATTTGGTATCATGGAAGCCCAGACATGGAGTGTCCTACTTCTTCCTCTAACCTGGTCCCTTATCAAGTATCACCCCCCCACACACATACCCCAGGAAGCCTTCCCTGACCTCCCTGGSCTCTAGGTGTAGAGACGAAGAGGCACAGGTGTCCCCACCTTTCTACCTGGGCTGAGAAGGAAGAGGGTCTTTTTTGGGAGAGAGAAACACAGCTGGGGAGATGAGCTCCAGGTTTGGCCTATTGATGTTGTGGTCCTCCGAGACTTCTAGGTGTGGAAAAAGTAATAGAGGCAGAGTGATAGCCGAATTTGTTGGACTGATAATAATAAGACCTACAATATAACAGATCCTGTTTATCAGGTACTTGTATGAGCCAGGAGCTGGGCTAAGCGCTCTCTATGCATTGATTTAGTGATTTAATTTTTGTAACAAGCCTAGAAGAAAAGCATAGGTTTGCACCCATTTTACAAAGAAGAAAATTGAGGCCCAAAGAAGTTAGGTAGATTTCCCTGGGTCTCACAGCTGCTGCGAGRTAGAGCAGAGGAGAGAGAGAGAGCTATATCCAGGGCAGGCCTCCCGCTTGGGAAAGGGGGAGAGACCAGCAGAGACAGGAGAGGCAGGCAGCAGGAAACCAGTGCCACCATATGTCAGGTGCCACAGGGCTGGCTCTTGGCATATGTGACCTTCCTTACTGTTTTTGAAATAAAAGGGGACCGAGTTCAGGCAGGCAGTGAATACAGGGAAGGAAGCCAGCCAAAGGGGCAGGCATTTGGAAGCCGGGGGTGTCACCAGCATTACTGAATGCTGCACGAAAGGCCAAGAATGATGTGGCCCGAAGGCCATTAGACTCAGGGACTGGAGCTTGTGGAGAGAAACGTTTCTGCTGTGCTTGGGGCAGGAGCCAGATTGCACAAGATCAAGGATAGGTGGGTGGTAAGGAAGTGGAGGCAGAGCGTGTTACTATTTCCAGTGAAGGAARGAATAGGAGATAATGGGAACCTAGCTATTGGCCAGGCCTGGAGCCAGGGTCCTTGTCCTGAGGAAGAGATGGAGATGGGCGTGGGGCTGGATCCGGACTGGAGGGGCCTGGCCTGTTCAGCCTATACCACCTCCTGCCTCCTGCTGGAAGCCCCTGGACTAGATCAGGTCAGACACTGCTTCTGCAAAGCCTCCGTGGCTCTACCTTACTGCAGAGGTTCCCACCCTCCTCTGAGCTCCTGCCATGATCCAGGGTCTGTCTGCCGTGTGACATCAGTCCAGGGTATAATGATGCAGTGACAGATGTGCAATATGTGCCAGACACCACGCCGCATACTTTGTGTGTGTTCTCACGTTAATACTCTTGGCAACCCAGGATGCGTAGGTGCACGTGGACTCCCCAGCTACGCCTGCCAATGAACAGGCTGTCTGTGCCTTCTCCCCATTGTGCCGCAGTTTCCTAGGAGAGGAATTTCTGAATTCCCTCCGGACACCAGGGCATAGGGCTCATTCACTCCACAATGATTGAGTGCCTGCTGTGGGCGTGGAACCTATTGGTGTTAGCGAGGCGGATTCACGAATGGAGGAAGGTCCAATTCAGCTTAGTAGATTCTATGTGGAGAGTGCATCATAGTGGTCACACATGCAATGGGTCTTGAAGATCACGTAGGAGTTTGCCAAGGGAATGGGCAGGAGGCCATCTCCGTGTGCTGTTAAGGGAACAGTGAGAAGCTGGGCCAGCTCCACAGAACTTGGCCTTGCAGGGGAGGTTGTGAGACAAGCTGGCGGGTCGCGTTGGCACCGGTCTGTGAGAGGGTTTTGCCAAGCCAAGGAGGCGGCTGGCTGAAGCTGCAGGCTTAGATTTTCTTGGAAGAAGAGTGGTGGAGGATGGGCAGGCACATTAGGAGGCTGGAGCAAGAAGGCAGTGCGGCCATGACACGGGTGCAGGTGAGCCACGACTCGGGCTTAAAGTTACCCAAGGAGCCCACGGGGAGGGGCTTACTGCGGCTCTCACCTTTGAGTTAGAGATTGGCGCGACCTCTCCTGCAGGACACAGGCTCGTGGTTGAGGGCATCGGTTGTAGCGATGGCGCAGTGTTTGCCACACAAAGACGGCCCARGCCCTGAGTTCTCCCTTCCTGTTGCTCTTGTGTCTAATGGCCATGCTCCCACTTCCTGCCACCCCTGACCTCTGGATGCTGTGTGCTATGGAGCACTTCAGGGATCTGTGTTGTGCCTTCTTTCTGTTTTCAAATGAAGTAAATGTATCTATATGGTTCAAGAATCAAAATATAGGCCAGGTGCCGTGGTACATGCCTGTAATCCCAGCAACTTGGGAAGTTGAGGCAGAAGGACTGCAAATATGGGGCCAGCCTCAGCAACTTAGCACTGCCCTAAGCAACTTATTGAAAACCTTTCTCAAAATAAAAAATAAAAAGGGCTGGAGATGGTGTTCAGTGGTTAAGCATCCCTAGGAGCACTTGCTTAGCATGCCCAAGGCCTGGGTTCTGGCCCCAATACTCAAATAAACAACCAACCAGGAAAATGTTTAGACTGAAACCTTGTGTGGTGTTCACACCTGTTGATTCCAGTGACTGTGGAGGCTGAGGAAAGAAGATCACAAGTTCCAGGCCAACCTGGATGATTTAATGACCCTGTCTCATTTATTAAAAAAGTAGAAGTAAAAAGGGCTGGGGAGGTAGATCAGTGGCAGAGCACTTCTGGGTTCAACTCAGATGGCTCCCTGTACTGGGTGGGGGCGTATTTATCAGCTTGAATTTTTTCTTTTCTTTTTTTGCAGTGGTAGAATACCCCTGAATTGAACCCAGGGACACTTAACCACTGAGCCACATCCCCAGCCCTTTATATTTTTTTCTGTTGAGATAGATAGATAGATAGTTGCTTAGGGTCTTGCTGAGTTGTTGAGGCTGGCCTCAAACTTATGATCCTCTTGCCTTCGCCTCAAAGTAGTTGGGATTACAGGCATGTACTACTTGCCTGGACTTTCTAATTTTGATAGACATGAGAAAATTGTCCAAAAGTGTTTTACTAGTTTGTATTCCCATTTTCATTTATTAAACTGCCTCCTTCTCCATAGCCTTGCCAAAAGTGTGGTGTGTGTTTTTTTGTATACTTTGGCCATTCTGACAGGTGAGCAGAGGCCTGTCTCTAGAGTTCCACTTTGCATTTCTCTAATTATGTGCTGAGCATTATCCATGTCTTCGGGGCTCCCTTTCTGAGCACTGTTTCGGYGTCCAGGAGGCTAGGACCATCACCCCGTTTCCCAGACGGGGAAGTTCAGGCCCGGGTCCTGAAGGATGGTGGGCCTCCTCACCTGGACCTTATTCCCTTTGCAGACAAGCATGAGACGAAGCTGAAGGGGGTCATCTACTTCCAGGCCATCGAGGAAGTGTACTATGACCACCTGCGCAGTGCAGCCAAGGTCAGAGGTGGAGCACCAGAGGGGGGCAGCAGGGGCCGCCCCAGGGAAGGGTGGGCCAGCTGGACTCTGGGAGCAAAGGCCTCCAGCCTGCCCTCTGTGGAGGCTCCGGCCGAGTCCCTGTTCTCTTTGTCACTTTTCTCTTCCTTTCTCCCTCTTCCTTCTCAGAAGAGGTTTTTCCACTTCACTATGGTGACTGAGGTACCCCTCCCCATGTGCCTGTAACCATAGCTACATACATTAACACCTCCGAGTCCACTGTCCTGACCTTGACTCTCCCCTCCATCGCTCTAACTTGCCCAGGCCTGAGGGAGGAGAGAGAGCAAGAAGCCCCTGTGGGCTTGAGTCTGGTGGCAGCAGGATGTTGGGCTGTGGGGGGCAGGGGCAGGCAGTGCAGAGCGGGGAGCTAGAAGGGGTCGAGGGGCCTCAGACTAGATCTGGGAGGGAACAAGAGGTGTCTGGGGCAGGGGACCAGCAGCCCTACTGCGTGCCACCTTTCTCTCAACAGCTCCTCCCATGCCAGCTCTATCCTGACCTCTGCTCTTTGGGTCCCCTCCTGGCACCTTGCTGATAGCTCTTTCCTGCCTCTTTTTTGCTGAAAAACTCTGGTCCCCACTGGAGTATCTTCTTGTGATCTATTCTTTCATACTCGCTTCTGAAACTGGAGGGGGACCAACAGTTTCCCTGTGACTTGGGAGGCTGAGGCAGGAGGATCATGAGTTCAATGTCAGCCTCAGCAAGGGCGAGGCGCTAAGCAACTCAGTGAGATCCTGTCTCTAAATAAAATACAAAAAAGGGCTGGGGATGTGGCTCAGTGGTTGAGTGCCCCGAGTTCAATTCAATTCCTGGTACTAAAAAAAGAAAAAAAAAGAAAACCGGTACAGAGAGCCCATGACTGCCATGATGTGAGAAGGGGAACATTCCACCTGGGGCGTGYGGACATAGCCTTCAGCTCTGGGGTTTCCTGGGGCTGAGGGAAAGGCAGACAGGAGGCAGGTGAGGAGAATATTCCAGGCTGGCGAGTCCTGCCTCAGCCCTTCCTCTCTTCCCTTGACAGAGCCCGAACCCAGCCCTCACCTTCTGCGTGAAGACCCATGACCGACTGTACTACATGGTGGCCCCKTCTGCGGAGGCCATGCGCATCTGGATGGATGTCATCGTCACAGGGGCTGAGGGCTACACTCAGTTTATGAACTGACTGCCGTGGCCTCCGGGACCCTCAGGCTGGCCCCAGGACCCACGCCAGCCTCTTGCTGCTCTGCTGGCCCCTGTGGGCAGCTGCACAGCGGGCGCCAGCCCTCACAGGAGCAGGATGTAGCGGAGCGGCCAGGGCCTTTGTGCAAGAAGACTTTGTGGTACTCTGTAGGGATTCAGTCCTGTGAGTTTCTGGGCTCAGAAGAGGAAGGTGGGAGGGGACTTGCTGCCTCCTGGGAGCCCAGAACTCGCAGTTCCTGTTCAGAATGCTGCCCGGTGCCCGGCCCACACCGTGGAGGAACTGCCACAGAGGCTCAGTCTGACCTGCTCTCCCCAGTCTGTTTTCTCTTTGTAAAGGACTAATTATGGTACCAGATTCTGCCAAAGATCCTCTTGCCTCCGCCCTGCAGGGCCTTGGGGCCGAGCAGAGCTACCCCGCGGGGCAGCAGCGCAGGCAGCGCACTGCTCCAGCGCCCTCTGCCTCACTGTCTCCCTYGTTTCTATGTTTTTAATTTGCTTGAGGGACAGACACTTCAAGTGTCACCCTTGAGGTTCCAGCCCCATTCCCTGGTTGGAGAACCACCACCATGGTCTCCATGGTGATCGCTTCATTGTCATGGTTACATACTAACTGCAGCAGCTCCATGGCTGAGCCCACTGCTCAGTGATGGGCCATCTGAGGGTACGCGCCATCGTCTCTCCAGCCCAGGCGCAGGGTCATCTCATGCAGGGGGAAAGGACTGAGCACCTCCCCACCCCCTGCCTGTGTCTAGTCCCCAGTCGTGCAGCCTGCGGCACTCCACGCCAGCCCTCTCCCTTCACTCGTGCCTTGCCTAGAGCCAGAAGGGATGATGCAGGGGATCTATGACCAGAGGGACAGCCAGCACCTGGGAGAGGAAGCCAAAGGGTGTCCTCTGGATCCTACAGGGTTGAGTTCCGGACAGGAAGRGGGGTGGCTCAGAGCTCTCAGAGGGAAGGACTGGGCAAGAGGGAGCCACAGAGGGACTGGCCTGAGCTCCACTGCCCACCCTTCAGCYTCCGAAGGATAATGGAAAAGGAGAGTGGAGGACCAGCCTCCAGCTGTCTGGCCTCAGCCCTTTGCCGCCTTAACACTAAGCCCACCTCCCCTGCCCTCCTCCCCAGCCCCKAGTCCCTGTGGYCTGGGCCGGGCTGGGTGTTTTTCAGTATTGGTAAGCATTTACAAATAAGCAGAACAATAAAGCATTTGGACTATGTAAGTGTGTGGAAGAACAGGCTGTATGGGGCTGGGGTACAC